GTTGCGGGATGGGGGAGCTGCAGGAAGCAATGGGGGAGGGGAAATGCGGCATGCCCGAGGGAGGAGGCGGGGAAGGGGGTGGGAAGGGGTGGAGTTGGGGTGAGGGGGCACAAAAAAAAAGCATGGATGGCCAAAAATTTTTTTGCTTGGGGTGGCAAAAATCCTAGATCCGGCCCTGGTTGCACCCCAGGCCCTAAGTCCTTTTGAAGCATTCCCCTGTAGTGTCCAATCCCTTGTCCACTGAGCACCCACAGAAATACCAGGTCTGCCATCCCCAAAGGAACAGTGTACACACCATCTTGTGTGATTCAGCTCAGGCTCAGCGCATTGCTTAATATCACAACACTTAGATATCTTTATAGTGAAAAGAACAAAAGTTTATTAAAGGTTCAAGTGATAGTGAGTAAGAATATTGGAAACAAAAGGTTAAATATAAAACAAAATCATAATGTGCTTTCTAGAGACTAACCTTAAGTAACAGCCTAACCTCCTGTCTAAAGAAGTTTCTCACCCCTGCTTAGCAAAAATTTTAACTTCTGCTGCCCTACATACCAGTAGATCATACAAAGCACTCCTCCAAAACTGAATGTCACCACTTGGAAAGAACTTGGCCTTGTCTGCTGTAATCAGAAAAGCTGTTGTGGAGTCCAGCAGTTAGTAGGATGAACTGAGACTATGGCTACCAGTGCAGCCTTTCAGCGGCTACATGAGCCTTTGAAAGTCAATTCAGACAGTGTCTATTAAATAAATGCAGTATTGCAGAAGGCAGAAAACATAGGGTATATCTACTCTGCAAGTAGACACCTGCAGCTGACCCATGCCAGCTGCCTCAGGCTAAGGGGCTCAGGCTAAGGGGCTGTTTAATTGGAGTGTTAGACTTTCAGGCTTGGTATGGAGCCTGGGCTCTAGGACCCCTGTGAGGCTTAGGGTCCCAAAGCCCACGCTCTAGTTCGAATGTCTACACTGCCTTTAAACAGCTCTTAGCCTGAGCCCCACGAGCCCGAGTCAGCTGACAGAAGCCAGTTGCGGTTTTTAAATTGCAGTGTAGACATACCCGTAGTTAGTTCTGGAAAACCATGCTGAAGTAGCAATTAAAATAAGAACTTTTTTTTTTTAAGAGACTGTCAGACTGCTGACATCATGGATCAGAGTCTTTCCAGAGAGAAGAAATTAAGCTGTCCTTTTCTGCATACAGTCTTACATTGTAATTAGTAGCAGATGTTTTTATCATCTGTTGCATGCTATATTTTCTGCCACCTGTCGGAAAACAATTGCAGAATCGATATAAACACACAGCATGATGAAAACTAACTTTTTTACACAATGCATGTGTATAGTTAATAATTTTTCTGTGGAACTTTCATTCATGACTGTAAATGGACTAACTCCAGCAAAAAAACGATACTCCGTTTATCCACTCAGGTTAGCCATATGTAGTGCTGTAGGAGCTTGGTATACTCTTTTGTTCGTGACCCTAGTAATGTTCTCTACTGTACATTGACCTACAGTAGATGGACCTGTGACTGTCTATTTTGTTGTGCATGAGACTGGAAGATGTGTTCCAAAATCCCAGTTTTGAGTATTGGATTTAAGAGGTGAATTACTATTTGCCAGGAACTATAAGATGCCATCCCAAGTGGCAGTAAGAGTTCGTTAATTATACTTTATTCTCCAAGTTATGCAACCTAGTTCTCCAAAATGTAATGGAGGAAAAATGTGAGAATCGTTTTGATGTTTTTTATTTCTTCCACCCCACGTCTGGCACACAATTTATAGAGTTACTAAAGTTACTTGTAATCTGTTACCGTCTTCAAAACTGCAGTATGATCACAAGTATTCTATAAAAGACTTCAGTTGCAAGTTTTGCTTAAGACTGGTACACAATATAGAAGAACTATACAGTTAGTTTTGGAGCCATTTGGTTGTATTTTGCAGAAGGTTCTACAATGATTTCTGCCCCACATAAGCATTCTGTTCAGGTTCTCTTACAGCCCTCATTGCTAAGTGCCTGCAGATCGTCAAATGTAGATTTGTTCTTCTGTCGCAATGCATAACTGCATAAATTGTCTTGACTGGTAAAGCTTTGTGCAAGAAACTTTGTAGCAGTGTTGAGGTTTTCTGCTAAGAGTTGTGATGGTATTTGTAGAAATGCCAAAAGCTTATGGAGGTCCATCCTGGGAACTGACTGAATGAAGGCAGAGATTTGTGGGAAGGTATCACACATATTAAAAAGAAAATACTGGAATATTACATGAAGTATTCGGAAACAAAAATCAATAATTGGAAAAATAATTCCATTCAGTGCAAGAGCTCTTGTATTTTCTGTTTGACTAGCCAAAAATCTGAACTTTTGTTTATACACATGGAGCTTCAGAAAACTGCTTCAGATTGTCTTGCTGCTCAAGATACACTCTAAAGCAGAGGTGGGCAAACTGCGGCCCGCAGGCCACATCCGGGCCGGCCCTTGAGCTCCCAGTCTGGGAGGCTAGTCCCGGCCCCTTCCCTGTTGTCCCCCGTCCCCTGCAGCCTCACCTTGCCGCGCTGCCAGCGCTCTGGCCTGCTGCTCCTCCCGGGCAGCGTGGGCGGCGTGGCTGGATCTGGCTGGGTGGCAGGGCTGCGAGCTCCTGTTGCTCTGAGCGGCATGGTAAAGGGACGGGGAGTGGGGGGTTGGATGGGGTGGAGGGTCTCGGGGGGGAGGGGGGTCGGTCAGGGGTCGGGGAACTGGGGGGGTTGGATAGGCGTGGGAGTTCCGGGACGACTGTCAGGGGGCGGGGGTGTGGATAGGGTTTGGGGCGGTCAGGGGACAGGGAGCAGGGGGGGTTGGATGGGGGCAGCATCCTGGGGGGGGCAGTTACGGGCAGGGGATCCGGGGGGGGGGTCAGAGGCCAAGGAACAGGGAGAGTTGGATGAGTCAGGCGTTCTGAGCGTGGCAGTCAGGGGGTGGGAAGTGGGAGGGGCAGATGGGGGCGGGGGCCAGACTGTTTGCAGAGGCACAGCCTTCCCTACCTGGCCTTCCATGCAGTTTTGCAACTGTGATGTAGCCCTCGGGCCAAAAAGTTTGCCCACCCCTGCTCTAAAGCATACGCTTTAACATAAAACTTAAGGGTAACAAAATAAGTCTGTACTTTCTGTAACTCAGGAAAATGAGTGCAAGTAGAATTGATAACACCTCAGCTTCTGGTTACAACCATTAGGATTTACGCTTGTTTCTCTCTGTTTTTCCAGTGGTACAGGGGCAGCTTTTTAATATTTGTCTTAAAGATATTTCACGGTCGTTTACTCTAATTTACCCTGCTGGTTTACATGTAGTGCCTGCTTTGTAATGAACCTCTTTCCTAGTAATGAAAATCTTGAATGTGTTTCCAGTCTTGACCAACATAAACCTAGCTACTGAAGTGTTTCCAGCGGTATGGTTGTCTGTATCCTGTCACCCCATCTGCTTTCAAGCAGAGAGTCTTGATGATTTTCTGGGATTGCAGCTGTTAAGTTTTGTAACCGCTTGAATTTACTCTTGAAAGTTAGGCACTGAGAGCACTGGCTAGTTCCAGGCACTGAGGCAGGTGCCTTATGCAGTTTTTGCCTGCGCACGCTACTCTTGAGCTGAAACATGCTTGCTCTATCAGCTCTCAGGAGCGGAGAGTCTTGTCAGTTGAGCTGAACTGTAAAGTGGTTTTGGATGAAAACTATAGCTGGAGCGGGAGTGCCCGTCATTTTTTGAAGAACTTGGCTATTGGGCTGAAATTTTCCATACTTTTCCATACTTTTTCTCTTCCAGAAAATGAATTTTATCAGAGTTAAGAAGTGGCAAAATTTCACTCTTGTCAGTGTAAGAATATTTTGGCAACCTTTTTTTTTTTTTTTTTTTTTTTAAATGGGGCTACAGCAAACGTGGCTGATGATTGAAAGTTGAAACTTGGCTGGAAAATAGTCCTCACTGAGAAGTAGTGGATGGACTTTGGGATGAATGAGGTGTATGAAAGAATGGTTTTGCCTAAGCAAAATTGTATTTGAAAACTGTGTACTCAGCATATACTCTAGCTTTTTTTCATGAACTCTACAACTTGCACTCTTAAATATATGCACATAGCTATAGGTGTGATTTTTCAGAAGGTTGCATCAGTAGTGCACGTGCAACACTGTAGTCTGCACATACAGACATGCACAAGCAAGCACCAACATCTGCATGCACAGGTGATTTTTTTTTTTTTTAAAGTACACACACACACGTCAGTCTTGGTGCTTGAAAGGTGCACCCGGCAGCAGACTAGGCTAAGGCCCCTTTAACTAGAAGCTGGCCTTCATTCAGCACTGGTCCAATAGAATTTAGGACTCTGTAAGACTAAGATTTGGCCCTGTGGGAACTTTTTGCAAGACCTTATCAGCACAAGATATAAAATGAGAGCAACCATTCACTGTTGCCTATTCAGGATTTCACCCCAGATTTTCAGAGGTGTAAGGTACCAGCTACCTTTCTGACTTGTTAGTTCTTCAGTGTTCTACATCCTAACCAATATTTTTTAAATGTTTTATCTACTACTTTCCCTTTTAACATTTCAGAATCTGAGAGATCTTCCTGTTTATCTTCTGTGTGACTTCAAAGCAGGATATTTGTAAGCCTGCTCATTGCTAACATCAGCAAAGGCTGTATTTTATTTTTAAACTGCACTGGGGTGAAAATAACTGCTATGCAGAGGGTTAGCAAAAGGCCTCTGCTAAAAACCTCTAACTAATGCCATGTGCTACCCATAGTACATTCTTCAGCGTACACATTTGCAATACATTGTTTTCAGCCACGTAGAACACTGTGTACCTCTGAGATTTTGTTAGCTAATGCACACAATATGAATGCAATGAGATCTTAGCATACTGAGGATAAGGACAAAGTCCTGTTATTTTGTTGTTGTTCAAATACATCTTTTAAGAACATGGCATTTGTGGGGGCCTTGTGCAATTTAAGGTGATAAAATCATCATAATAAACAAATGTTTTTCCTTTCTCAGATCTGAGTACCCTGAATCCAAATGTCTCAGCAGAGAAAGCTAGAAATGTCCTAGCTGTGGAGACTGCTCCCACGGAACTGGTAGGAGAACAAGCAGCTTGCCAGCCAGCACCAGTCCAACAAAGTGCCATCAATTTCTCCCTAAAACAATGGGGTACTGAGATCAAGTGAGTTCTTTTCTCCACGTAAGAATTGTACTTGTCCCTAGCAAATGGCCAATGATACTACAAGTTGCTCAGATACTGTAGTGATGGGGCCAGTATAAGATGGAGAGAGAGAATGTACAAATTAAGCAAGAAATTGGAAAAATTAGTGGCCTGTCCATTGCCACAATATCTCTTAAAGTAGACTGTCTATTTATTCATAATAGGATTACTAATTTAACAGGTAGAGTTGGGTATAGAGATACAGTAGTGTTAGTAAAACATCTGATGTAAAATGAACAATCTGTCAGATAGTGAGTAATAGCTTTATGGTCTGAGCACAAGACAAGGAGCCAGGATCTATTTCTCTGTGCCCTTGGGAAAGTTAAATACTTAACCATTCTGCATCCTATCCTTTTTCTGTAAAATGGGCGTAGTAATTGCTTACTTCAGTGGCGGTATGGTGATTCATTAGTTAATACTTAAAATAGTAGTTTGGAGATTAAAAATCCTATTTATATTCTTCGTTTATTTTTTCCATTTTTAAAAAAGATATGTACTGTAGATTAAATACAAGAAGCTCAGGCCAACACTGAGCAAGTTGTGACAACCACTTTCTTAAAGTAAGAAACTTTTTTTTTTTTTAAGCATTTTAAAGAATGGAAGTAACTATTTTAAGATAAGTTTACTTGAGTTTGCTCTTCGACACTAATTGTTTTCAAAAACAGTCATACAGTGGCTGATATCTGGCTCTCCTACTACTGTAGGTTCTTTATGAACATTTCATATAATAAAAAGAAAAGGAGTACTTGTGTCACCTTAGAGACTAACCAATTTATTTGAGCATAAGCTTTCGTGAGCTACAGCTCAAATAAATTGGTTAGCCTCTAAGGTGCCACAAGTACTCCTTTTCTTTTTGCGAATACAGACTATAGACTATATACACAGCTGTTACTCTGAAACATTTCATATAATCTGTCTAGTGACCTTCTGCTACTGTTCGAAGGACAGCTGATCCTTTTCCTATGATGTTAGAGCAGTTCATGATGCAGTGGCTGCTGTCCTGTCAACTAGACCACATCCTTCTTGCGCTGACAATGAGAAGAAGCGATTATTTATTTATTTATTTATTTATTTTTTACCAGTGCAGTTGAGTTAAATAAGGAAACCTTTAAATGAAATCTGTTAGGCACAGAAATCTGAAGTTGGAAGATGTGTTGTGAATGAGGCAGGAGGCTGCAGGAAGAGGAAGGATGGTCTCATGGTTAAGGCAATTGAGTGTTGCCCTGGAGAACTGGGTTCTATCACTGCCTGTGCTGGAGAGATCCTGTGTGAAGCTAAGCAAATTACTTAACCAGACTTTTCACAGGTGGACACTGATTGTGTTCTTCATTTTCTGGGTGCCCAGCCTGAGACCGTAGTGTCTGATATACAGAAGTGCTGAGCACTTACATCTGCAGTCATTGGGAACTGTGCTTCAAACGTATAAAGTGTTCTATAATTCTTGAAAATCTAATCATAGCCGTCTCAAGTTGGACGCCCAAAGTAGTGATTACTCTTGACCTTAATATCTGCGTCTCAGTTCCCCACCTGTAAAATGAGGATTAAACCCCCCCTCGTCTCACAGGGTTTCATGAAGATAAATTAATTGTTTCTGAAGTATCCATACCGTAGAGATGAGCACCATGGAAAATCCCATGAGGAAATTAATAATTCTGTGTTCAGAGCAGGGTTTGAATAGCTTGCAGTAAATAAGGCCTAGGCCCATGCATTGAATAATGTGGATAAAAGAAAATATTGTATAGCACTGAGCACTGTCCATTCAGTGCACTGAATAAGGTGGCATCTTGGGGGGGGGGGGGGAGAGTAGAATGTGATTATGTAATTAAAGAGTGTATCATAATGCATATGCATGAGGGATCCAAATGAAAGTTGCACAGGCAACCTTCTTTAAACTTCCTAACTTTTAAGTGCTGGAATTTGCAATCTTAATGTTCTTTTAACATATTTTTTTTTTATACGTAAGCTAGAACTCTGTTTAGCTGTGAGGGATTTCTGCTTGTAGAGTGCTGATGGAATCCGATCCTTAAGGGGTAGTTAATGACATCTTCATAATCATAAACTTAAAATACAAATAAAAATCAGTTTTTAAACCTGATTAGAATTGAGTTTTACTGTGCTATAATAGTTAATGATGGCTAAGCAGGCTATTGACGTGATAGGCAACCTAGAAATACCTAAGATGCAGAGCTAATATAGTTGAGGAATGGGAAGGATAGTATCAAAACTTTAAGCAATTTTATTTATTTGTATAGGTCATATTGTGATTTTCAGCACCTTAGTATCTGTGTGCCTTATACAAAGACTGATTAATTCTTGCAACACACTATTAGTAGGGCCCTACCAAACTCACGGTCCACTTTGGTCAATTTCACGGTCATGGGATTATAAAAATCATAAATTTCAAGGTTTCAGTTACTTAAATCTGAAATTTCATGGTGTTGTAATTGTAGGGGTCTTGACCCAAAAAGATTTGTGTGTGGAGGGGGGCTGTCGCAAAGTTATTGTAGGGGGAGTTGCGGTATTGCTACCCTTATTTCTGCACTGCTGGCGGTGGTGCTGCGTTCACAGCTGAGCAGCTGGAGAGCAGTGGCTGCTGGCTGGGAGCTCAGTTCTGAAGGCGGCAGCGCAGAAGTAAGGGTGGCATGATATGGTATTGCCACCCTTACTTCTGCGCTGCTGCCTGCGGAGCTGGGCCCTCAGTCAGCAGCCACCACTGTCCAGCTGCCCAGCTCTGAAGGCAGCAGTGCAGAAGTAAGGGTGGCACGGTATGGTATTGCTACCCGTACTTCTGCACTGCTGCTGGTGGGGAGCTGCCTTCAGAGCTGGGCGCCTGGCCAACAGCTGCTGCTCTCCAGCCACCCAGCTCTGAAGGCAGTGCAGAAGTAAGGATGGCAGTACCGTGACCACACTAAAATAATCTTGCGACCCTTCTGTAACTCCTTTTTGGGTCAGGACCACCAATTTGAGAAATGCTGGTCTTCCCTGTGAAATCTGTATAGTATAGGGTACAAGCACACAAAAGACCAGATTTCATGGTCCATGACGTGTTTTTCATGGCCAAGAATTTGGAATTATTGTTAACTCTATAGTACAGAAGGTGAACTGCGGCACGGAGATGAAGGGATTTATCCAAAGTTTTAGAAGAAGTCTGTGGCAGTGCTGGGAGCCCATACTTGCTGAGTCCCTTATGTCAGTATCGTAAACACAAGGCCATCCTTACTTTGTTAGCCATGCAGCACAATTTCATCACAGTAGTTCTTTGTGTAGAGCTTTAACATATGGTTAACATCTGCTTGACAGCAAGGGCTTGTTGTAATATCTGCATATGCCTTAAGCAACAGTAAAGACATAACAAGAGGGAAGTGAAGAGGGTATGTTGCATATAAAGAATGTACTATATGTGCACATTAATGCACTTGCCTAAGATGGAAGTTGCTTTCATTTTAAATCAGCTTTCAACAATTAAAGCCACTAAAAACTAATTGGATCAGATAAATGTTCAGAGCTCAATAGTCCTTTCTTCTTATGCTGACAGTTCCTGCAGCCTGCTTTGTTTATGTAGAGTCCTGCTTGTTTAAAAGGATGTACTGTAATAACCCCTGAGTTACCTAATCATATGATGGGATTTCATAATATAGAATGAGCCAGTAGATCACTTTTGAACTTTCACATATTTTGTGTAATTATATATAATTAAAGTATTTTTTAAAATAATAAACTACCTTGGTTTGCTGTTGTAGCTCTGTAAACCTAAAGTCCTCTGGTACTACTGCTTTACATAAATTTCAGTAATGGTGTGGGGGGGAGGAAAGGGAAGGTATGCTGTATTTAATTATTTAAATACATATTATAAAGGAATTCAACAAGCTACTCTTTACTCTTAATTTGTAGTCCAATAGCACATACTTAATCCTCAAAGAGTCAGCAAAGTCCTTATGAGAAGTACATGTAGAAATTGAACACCAACTATCCTGATACTTACCCTCATGGGGAATATTTGAAAAACATTCTCAAGTACCTTTTGCTTACTATTGTTTCTCTTGCCTCATTACTCTTTCTAAATATAGTTATCTTAAAACTCTGGAAAGGGGGAGGTTTAACAGCCTTTGAGACTGAAGTCCTCCAGACACAGGACAAGACGGGCATGGGCAGTGGAAAGCTCAACTCTTGCGGAAAGAGAATAGTTCAGTCCTTTGCTTCTATACTGAGAATTCCTAGAGAGATGTCCGTGGGTTTTGTGATGTGGATTCTTGTTCACCAGGAACTAGTTGGAGACTGCCACGTTCACTACACACAGACTTTGTAGATGTCTGTCTAAGGACTGGGGCTTCATCGGAGCCAGTAACTTAGAAATAACAAGCTCGCTGTCCCATGTGGATCGTGTAGTCCTACATACACAGAAAGAATAGCCGCGAAAAGTTTACTGAATACATAATCAAATCCCAGCCAAGTTTGCAAATCAGATGCTCCTTGCTTTATGAAGGATTACATTGTGTTTTAAAAAACTGTATCAAAATGATCATTATCAGACTGCTTAATTGAACCAAATTATTTGGAATTGTGGCATTGTGATATGTTTAGTGTATTAGATCACTTAGCTCAGGTGACAGATTTCCTGTAAAACTTTAGGGAACCATTGGGTCAAGCCAGCAAATAGTATCAATAGTGAGACACCTATATGGTCAAATATGCATTGTAAGTCAATTACTTTTCCTTAAACGGGAGGTGAACTGCTCTCAGGGAAGGGTGAAGATGGGGCCTCCATCCTTAAGGGATGGAGATTAAACATACTTGTATTTGAAAAGTTAACTGATCCTTAAATGTAGTGGTGCTACATTTAGAAAGAGACTTGAGATACAATGTTCAGATCCAGATCTGAAGTGCACAAATATATTGATATGCAGTGTTGGTTTAGGCCTTTGTGATTTCAGTGCTCCTACAGCATAAAATCTTTTACTCATATGAAAAATAGGTTACACTTTCTACAAAACTGTCAGATTGGACCCTAGAGATTGCCCTTGCAAGTCCCTTGCAAATAGTTGGCAGCATTCTGACTAGCATGGAGATTCTCTCCTCAACATCTGTGTAACTACAATAGATTCAGCTTTTGGATGACCCTAAGTGTTATGTTAATTCAGTTTGTGATACGATAATACACAGTGGCCTTTTGACCTGCATACTCCCTATTCTGTTTAACACTTAGCAGTTGTTTAACCTGAAATTTAAAATAAAGAACTATTTTAGTTAAACAGATTAAAAACAAAAAAACAAAACCGCCACTCCCCAGAAAAACCAAATGTTTCACTGCCAAAACACATGGAGCAGAGACAGGAGTGAAAGACCATAGGAGTCTCATGTATTTTGGTCAATTGCCTCACAGTACCACGTGCTGCAGCCAAGCCACTCTCTTGGCCCTTGAATATGTTATGATCAGTGCTTAAATACTAATAGTAGGTATTACAGGACATGACTACTTGCTTTTTTTGCATTTTATTTCGCATTGGTTTTAATTTAAGCTCTGTTTAACAAAGTGGATTCATTGATGTGTTTTGAAAGTGTATGTTGTTTGGGTGATTTTCATAAGGTGTACATGTACAATGTGACTAAAAAGGTAAATTAAAAAATATTACCCCCAAAAAAGAGAGAAAATGGCATCACTGTGATTATTTTCTTTATTCCATAGAAATTCAATGTCTTCCTTAAGATCTGGAAAAGGAAACAGTGAAAATCGTAAGAGTGTGTTTTATACCAGCGAAGAGTGGGAGATGTTAGATCCAACCCCAAAGGACTTAGAGGAGTCAATGGCACTGGAAGAAAGGCGGAAACATGCATCAGAAGGAAACAAAGGTACCAGAAGATTCTTTTTCTGTTAATATACCACACTGTTAGCTGTATCAACAGAAAATATAACACAAATTCAGTCATTTCTTTGTAAACCAAATCTTTGTGTCTACAGACACCCCTTTGCACATGAAATTATCTCCTTGTAGTGTATTCAAGGGTCAAACAGTGGGATTTGTCCATAATATTGTATACTGTGGTGCATGTGACAAGGTATACAAGAGATCTTTTATTTGACTCCGTGGGCAGGTGTATCTTTGTTTTGTTGTTGAGATGCCGGGCAACAAGAGGGGAGGAAAGAGTCAAGATCTTTGGTTATAATCTTATGTAGAGCCAGCTGCTTAGGGGAGTCACTGGCTTCAGACTTCAGAGGTGTCACTCTTCATCCAAAATAGAGAAACAACATCCTGGTTGCTGCTACTTGATGAGGGAGGGGGATAATGGGTGGAAAATGCATCTATGCTTTGATTAATTCTTATAGTCATAAGTTTTTGGAGTAACTTCATGAAAATTTTCACTACTCTTTAGAGCTCTTCGATTGTCATAAGCATTAGTTAATGTAGGAGATAGCATCCTTCTGTCTAAACCAGGGGTCGGCAACCTATGGCATGCGTGCCAAAGACGGCACGTGAGCCAATTTTTAATGGCGCACTGCTGTCTGCCGGGGACAGCAGCGTGCAATTAAAAATCCTGCCCAGTCCGGCCCACTCTTCTCTGCTCCCGCCCACCGCTCTCTCCTTGCGGGGCAGGCAAGCTTCCCCCTCTCCCGCCTCTTCCCCCAACGTGCAGGGTTCCTGCCCCTCCTTCTCTCCCACCCTGTGGCCGATCAGCTGATGGCCCTTGCTACAGAGGGGGAGAGGGAAAAGCAGAGCTGCAGCACACCTCTCTGCTCCGGGGACCTTGGGGAAGGGGGTGGAATCGGCATATCCCCTCCAGCCCCCTGCCGTGAGCCACTCAGGACAGGGGGCTGGGAGCATCCCCACGACCCCAGCCCACACCCCCAGCCCTCTGCCCTGACCCCTGCACCCTCCTCACACACCCCAGCCCCGTGCCCTGACCCCTGCACCCCCCCACAACCCCAGCCCTGACTCCGGCACCCCCCACACATACCCAGCCCCCCCATGCCCTGAATCTTGCACCCCCCACATCCACATTGAGCACCAAACGGGAGCTCCTGCACACACACCCCCACATTCCCACCTGCACCACTCGCACCAAATGGGAGCTGCCCAGGTAAGTGCTCCACACCCAAACCTCCTGCCCCAATCCTGAGCCCCCTCCCTCATTCTAGCTCCTGGCCAGACCCTGCACCCCAACCCCTAGCCTGCTCCTTCACCCCCAGCCCTGTTCTCAGTGCCCTCCCACCCTCATTTCAGTGCAGAGAGAGGAAGAGAATGGGCCAGAACCAGGGAGAAAGTAGGTACCTACTCTGTGTGGACAGAGCCGGGACTCCAGACCGGCAGCAGGCTGAGCGGGGCCAGCAGCTAGGACCTTGGCTGGCAGGAGCCGGCAGAGGGAACCCCAGACCGGCAGCGGGCCCCGCTCAGCCCGCTGCCGGTCTGGGGTTCTGGCTGCCTGCCCCTTGCCAGCCGGGGTACTGGCCACAGGCCCCGCTCAGCCTGCTGCGGCCTAGGTGAACGGAACCCCAGGCTGGCAGTGGGCTGAGCGGGCCCGCGGCATAAGATCAGTATTTTAATTTGATTTTAAATGAAGCTTCTTAAACATTTTGAAAGCCTTGTTTACATACGACAATAGTTTAGTTATATAATATATAGACTTTTTGAGAGAGAGACATTCTAAAAAACGTTAAAATGTGTTACTGGCACGCGAAACCTTAAATTAAAGTGAATAAATGAAGACTCGGCATGCACTTCTGAAAGGTTGCCGACCCCTGGTCTAAACAAAGGCACTTATCCCTGCAATCTGTTCCATTCAGGAGGGCCCTCACACCTATGCAGAACACTAGTAGCTTAAATGGTGCTGCACAGGTGTGGCTGCTTGTTTGGGTCTGATTTTAAGGTTAGGGCCATAGTTGTTTAAAACAGAAGAAATCTTAACAGTTAACTCTAGTTTGCTTCCATGGAAAAGTAAACTTGGTGGCTTGGAATATCTTTCATTGTTGTAGTGAGTGTGTAAAATTCTGTTCAATTTGGCAAGTGTATTATTTCTTCAGTCTCACATTCATGGTCTCTCTAAAAAATAAAGACCTTTAATGCCAAAAGAGATGTCAAAAGAAGCAACTTGGAAAATGACATGTTGGGTGTGTTTAAACTTCAGTATAAGTCTAATTTTAATGAGCAAGTGCAGACATATATATTTTTATAAAGAACTTTTTGAATACATTGAAACCTCTTTATTAAAAGATGTGAACTAGAACAAATTGTTTTTACACAGGAGTGACTAGTTCAGCCTTTCCATTTGATTTTGGCCGCATTCCATACAAAGCAAGACGTCCATTGAAAGAAATGATTGGATCAAGCAAAAATCGGAATAGCAGCGACACATCCCCAGTTGAATGGAATTCTGGAAATGGCAACAAACTAGCTTCTGAAATGCAACTAAAGTTTCAAAGCCAGCAAGAAGAGTTGGAAAGGCTAAAGAAAGATTTGTCGAGCCAAAAGGTAATTCACACAAGAAGGACAAGCACAACATTGTCAGGCCTGTCCACAACTGAGAGTAAATCAACCCTTTTAAACTATTTAATTTCAATGGTAGTTAATTATCTGATAACAAATACCAATGCTAAATGTACCTGTGCATTTGAAAATCTCAAAACAGAGTACCAAGAGATGGAAAGGTCTTTAGTTTGCATAGGGTTCAGTAACTGCTCTTTTGGCTTTTATATCCTCCTTTATTTACCCATTGAAACCAGCTTTCCAGAGTGTGTCTGTGGGCAATTAAAGACTATTCACCATCTGTATCTGCAGTCCCCCTATGTTCTCCCCCGGAGAACTTCTGATGTCTGAGATCCATCTCTTTCTTAATCACATTAGAGAAAAAGAAACATTTATGCCTCATTTGGATTCAGTCTGTATCACCAACAGGGTTTGATAGAGCATGGTACAAAGCTTAGACCAACAGCTTTAGATACTGATCCACACGCTATGTAGATACTTACATAGCCCCTATAATTGTAGTAAATGAGTGATTTCCACGTATTTAAAACTAGTAGAAACAACTCTTTCTTTCCAACTTTATTAGATTATGAGGCGGGTTGTTTTGAATTTTCCTGTTTGACCTTATTGAGGGGAAAGCTGAATCAATTTAGATGAGTTCCACATTTACTTGTGGAAAGCAATCAGTCACTCTCATAGGAGTGAGTTCCCTATTCTAGATCTAGCTCCTGTGAGAATTCTTAAACTTCTACACTCACAGGTCTCCTCCCAGTTGGTTGATAGTTTCATTGGTCAAGTAGATCGTAGCTGTCATAGCTACTTCTTCCATAGCCAAGAATTATTATCTTAAAGGAAGCTAGGGCTAATCTAGCAGAGGGCTTTGAATATCAGGACAGATATGTTGAACTGGGTTCTTTGGGAGCTGAGTGCCAGAAGGATGTGTTCACAGTAACCTATATGATTAAACAGTCTTTGCATTTTGTAACAGTTGAAACTTTTTTAGGGTGTGTAGATTCATTCCTAGATATGAGTTAAAATAATCAAGCCTGGCGTCAACACTGTGTACTGATAGATTCTCCTAGCATCCGCTTCCTGATTGACTACCAACCCCAGGTGATGCTGTGATATGCTGATAGCCATTAGATTATCAATGACCTCATCTCTGACCAGTCAATTCAGCATTGGTTCCTTGATTGTGCAGAACACTCTGGTAAGAGAGAGTTTAGGTTTTCCAGCTGGGTCAGGGCTCCAGCTGTTCTCTTCAGCAGTTCAGGCTCTTTGGAATAAAATACCCAAAGAAAGGTGATAAACCCCAGGGGAGGATGAAGAAAAGAGAGTCTGGATTTCTTGTTATATGGGGAAACCTTTCTCTCGAAATCCATAGGGTTGCTCCAAACGCCTCCAAGGATCTCAGGCTTGATAGGTAGGCTTATAAGCACAGTTCTCTCTGCTGTATCCTGTTTTATTCTAGGGAACAAAATAACCCACCAGTATCTCCACTGTCATGAGGCCCTGGTTCAACCTAGACACATCTACATGGTTCTTCAAATCACTGTGAACGTCCAAATCCATCTTCACTGGGCCCCCAGGAGAGAACACTTGTCTCATCCCCAGGCTCCACCCTTCATCTCAGTTTGTGGGGAGGAGCTCCATTCCCCTATCCCAAAAGTACAGCCCCATTACATCCTATTGAAATCTATCGCCTATTAGGGCTTCCTCTTAATAAGCTCAGTTCTACTCTTCAGCTACCTAATGGGCCCCATCTGTCACTGCTTTCTGCAAGCCTGACACATAATATAGCTTAATACATACATCAGTTAATGGTGTGCCAGATGTATGTACCCACTTAGAATTATTATTCTTTGCTTCAGTGGCCTCCAGAAACCCACTGACTTTATTCCATTTACACTTGTTACTTCATGTAATATTCCAATTCTTTTTTTCTTTCGTTTTACATAATTATATTCTTAGGCTGTAATATCTCATGCCTTTTCTCCACCCTCACTTTACTTTACTCTTTTCAGGAACTTGTGCGACTCTTGCAGCAGACAGTTCGGTCTTCCCAGTACGATAAATACTTTGCAAGCCGTCTTTGTGATGGGGTTCCAAAAGACAAATTAGAGCTGCTACACCAAAAAGATGATCAGATTTTGGGTCTCAACAACCAGCTTGAAAAGCTAAATCTGGAAAAAGATAGTCTTCAGCAGGAAGTAAAGAATCTGAAATGCAAGGTTGGAGAACTCAATGAGCAGCTGGGTATGTTAATGGAAACAATTCAAGCCAAAGATGAAGTGATCATGAAACTCTCTCGTCAGCTCAGTGAATGTGAGGTCAATCCATTCTCCCAAAGTGGAACAGCAAATTCTTCCATGTCATCCTCTTTTAACAGGGAACTACAGGAGCTGGACAGACTAAAAGTAAGAGCAGTGTGTCTCTCCATTCGGGGTAGAGGAATCCTTAGTTCTCTATAATGCTTCACAATAGGCCATCATGTGTAAGAGATCACTAGAAGCTGCAGTATTGAAGTGAGCTGTAGCTCACGAAAGCTCATGCTCAAATAAATTGGTTAGTCTCTAAGGTGCCACAAGTACTCCTTTTCTTTTTGCGAATACAGACTAACACGGCTGTTACTCTGAAACCTGTCAGTATTGCTCTAGAATACTCACACCCATGAGATTTTTTTTCTCTTCCCAGTGGAGCTTGGGATCTACATTTTGTTCTCTAGTGGCTATGGATTATATTGTCTGCAAAGTGTTGTGCTGGTCAATTCTGCTGTAGTACAGTATATTGTGTTTTCAGTAATACAGTCAGAGGCGCTGACTCTGTGGGTGCTCCGGGGCTGGAGCACCTATGGGGGAAAAAATGGTGGGTGCTCCCCCTCCTTCCCCATGCCTGCCACAATCAGCTGTTTCATTGTGTTCAGAAGGCTTGTGGGGAGGAATGAGGGAGGGGCGGGAAGGGGCAGGGTGGGAAGAGGCAGAGCGGGGCCTTGGGGGAAGGGGTGGAGTGGGGGCATGGCCTGGGGCAGAGCCAGGGTTGAGTACCCCTTCCCCCGCCCCTGCACTTTGGAAAGTCGGCGCCTGTGAATACAGTAATTGCTATGGAGGAAGAATACCATGAGAAGTAATCAGGAATAAAGTGGAAAAAAGTAGGGGGCAGGAAGAAAACAAAGATGTAAGGGAAGAGTCAGAAACAAAGAACAACCGGTAAAAAATAAATGAGAGCAAAAGGAATAAGGGGGGGGGAAATAAAAGACCATTGTAAAATGACGGAAAGGTGATTTAGACGTAAAAGGAGGAATAGACCAGCAATAAAGTCAAAATTAATAGTGCTGGCCCTATTGCTAGTGACCTACTTTCTCCCCTAACTCCTTTCACAGTTTTATAGGATATTGGAGTTTGGGTTCAAACAAAAAATTTTTTTTGGTAGCTCCCTAAACTACCATTTAAGCTTGCTTGCCGTTGGATAATTACTGTACTCCAAAACAATTTGGAATATGATTGTGTTCCTATTTAAACAAAACTTTCAAAGGGAAAATGCGTTTTTGACATTTTAATCCACAACTTCCTACATCAGAGCATAAGGAATTCTGGATAATAAGGGATTAAACTACAGAAATGAATAAGCAAATAGTATTTTATCTACTGACAGAAGTGGATGTAGCAGATGAGGAATGCTGAGGATGTGGGAGTAGCAAGAGATGATTGTTTGAAAAGTATCATCTTTCTCTCATTCATCCCCGAACTTCAAGCTCTGGAGTTTAGGGTTGAGACAGGTTGACGCGAGAGAGCTTTTTGCTAGATACGTGTATTTCTGCATCATGGACATAGCCTTTGAAATAATCATATATATATAGTACCAATTGATTGAACCTATTCCTGCAGATTTGTACTAGCAATGTAAGTTTGGCTTTTTTTGTGCAAGGCTAGAAAAGAATATTATTTGGTTTGATAGTGATATTTAATTGACGAGATCTAATAGCTAAACAAGATGGATGAGGTAATATCTTTTATTGGACCAGCTTCTGTTGGCGAAAGATACAAGTTTTCAGACTACACAGAGCTCTTCTTCAGGTCGGGTCAAGATCTAATAGTGACTGCTTGTCCTGTATTCTACTGTATATTCTCAAATAGAAGTTTAAATGTCAATATCTATAGATGGTAAACTTCAATTTTTATTAACAGGACAATCTTCAGGGGTACAAAACCCAGAATAAATTTTTAAATAAGGAGATTTTGGAACTTTCTGCTCTACGAAGAAATGCAGAAACAAGGGAGAGAGACTTGATGGCAAAGGTCAGATTAACCCAGCTTTTCTATACTTCCATTTGAAAATGTCTAAAATAGATATTGGAGAAATGTTTAAACACTGAAAATGATCCTTTCAGCACTCAGAACTGCACAGCTCCTTAAATCCATCGTCTTTTTAAAAGTTTTATTTCTCAGTTGTCTTGAAGAGTGACACATGGTAATGTGGGCATGACTTATCCCCCCACACATGCTGTTTATATTCTATCGTGTTGCAATTTCATTTGTAAATCTGCCCAAGAAACTTCACTAAACAGTAGAAATGGAACTGTTTAGATATGTTTTGTATGGTGACTCTGATGAGTGCCACTGTGCATGTTACAATCTATTTAATCTTGCTGCATGAATGATTTTTCAGATATTTGTATGACTTGACATTACCTGTGAATTAAAAAGTGCAGTCTTAATTTATGAGCACAGGAATATTTCATGCAAAAAGCTGTCTCTTCAACATTAATATTACAACATTTTGCTTTTCAGTACACACAAGTCAGGAAATGCAGTTAAGGATGAGACTGTATTGTCATGTACAATAGTACACTAAATATGTCACATTGAGTACGGTAAGCTTTAGTGAGTGTGAAGGGCGAATAAATTTTTTTGTAGCCTTTGTCAGTGTATGTAGATTTAGAGCACATTTGTGTACAGGTGAGTAGGGTATTTGAATGAAAGTGGTCAAGTTATGGTTTGGTTGGGGCTAATTAGGTATGTTTATGTATGTGGATATGTTGTTTGAGCAGGACATGTCCAGACGTGGAACTATACTGCTGCAGTGTTCGGTGCCTATTTGGAGTGGTGCAGCGGTGTCTGGGACAGGGTCGACTCCATCAAAATGGCATCGGTGCGCGGCGACCCATCGGTGCCTTCCACTAGTCGGCACCGCTTCCCATCCACGGGACACTCTAAAAAGGCGAAGAGGTCTTTTCCACCAAGGCACCGGGGCAAGGCTGGGGGAGAGACTAGACCCGCGTTGGGCAGTTCTTGATCCCCATCGACCTCGCGGCCTCCTACTCAAATCGAGTGGAGTAGCCCACTCCAAGTAGCCCGGCCCACTCTGGAGGCCCTGCAGGCGGCTTGAGACGTTATGTCTCTACCAGTACCTGTTGCACCAACACCAGCGGCTCCCCAGTCCAGAGGCAAATGGGTGCTCAGACCTCCATAGGCGCCTTCCGGACGGTGCCGCTCGCAGTCGAGGGAAAGTTCCCGACACTGTTCTCCACGCAGTGACCGTCCCGCGTGCAGCCCGCACCGGTCCCCATAGACCTCCACCAGGTTGTCTGGCTGGGTGCTGAGCAGCAGGGGTTCCAGGCACCGCTTCGCCTCGAGAGAACGCAGATCTTGCGATCAGACCGGGATAGACGGCACCAGAGTGTGCCCTGCCGGGACCGGGACAGACGGCACTGGAGATTGCTGACTCCAAGAAGCTATTGTAGTCCCTCGCGGTACGGATGTCGGTGCTGCTCCTGTTCTTCATCCCACTCGAGGTCCCCGCCGTGGCACCGCTCCTGCAGCCCCAGACGTAGATTGCCAGCACCCAGCCACTGCGGATCCGCCCGTCGTAGCCATTTGCAGAGCAGCCGCTACTGACAGTACACCCACTCCTCCACGCCGGGATCACGGTCCTGAGATCAGCACCGCTCCTGACACCGTCGCTTATCCCCATCCCAGGATAGCAAGAGATCGTATGCCAGCCCGGCCTCCCTTCAAAGTCGACAGTCGGTGAGCCAGGCGGGACAGTCTGCTCCGTTGGTGCCGCAGCAGGTACAGTGGTACCAGTGGGCCCTGTGGGCCCTGACACAGCCCCCAGCGGTGACTCGCTTGGTGGCCAGAGCCTCAGAAAGACCGTCAGCCGCCCTCTCGCAGCCCCCAGAAAGGGGTCAGTGGAGTGCTTCTCCCCAGTTCTGTAGTCCGAAGGGGACCAAGTGGCGGGTCCTGCGGCACTGGTGGGGACGCAGAGAACCGCACCCCCTCTTCGGCCTCCCCCAATAAGGCAATCACGGCCCTTCCTCCTCCTGTCCTGCAGGAGGGGACAGTAAAGCCAATCAGGAATTTTTGAAAAGGGTGGCATCAGCCTCAGCCTACAAGCTGAGGAGGTGGAGGAGCCCTCGGATTCCCTCTTTTATGTCCTCTCAGTTACAGCGCCAGCCAGGGTGGTTCTCCCACTCTATGAAGGGGTGGCAAAGATCTCAAATGCCCTGTGGGAAACCCCAGCTTCCTTGCCCCCATCTCTAAAAGGGCAGAATGAAAGTATTTCATGCCTGCGAAGGGGCACGAGTACCCCACTCTGCCCTCAACTCTCTAGTGGTCGAGGCCGTCAACCACAAAGAGCGCCAGGGCCAACTAGCTCCTATTCCTAAGAATAAGGACTCGAGGAGACTAGATTTATTCGGTAGGAAGATTTATTCGTCCTCAAGTTTCCAGCTGAGGGTGGCAAACCACCAAGCCCTGCTGGGCAGATATGACTTCAACTTGTGGGACTCAATGCCCAAGTTTGCGGACTCCCTCCAGGAGCATGCTAAAAAGGAGTTTAAGGCTCTGGTCGAGGAGAGCACAGCTGCCGCCAGGGCGGCCCTTCAGGCAGCCTCGGATGCTGTGGATACGGCTGCAAGTTCTGTGGCCTACGACGTGTCCATGAGGAGAGCGTCGTGGCTCCTGTTATCAGGGTTGTCCAGCAAGGCACAGGACGCCCTGCAGGACCTCCCTTTTGACAGCAAGGTCCTGTTTGCGGAACAAACAGACGTGAAGTTACACGGTCTTAAGGACTCTCGCACGACACTAAAGACTCTTGGGCTGTATGTCCTGGCCTTGGCCAGGACCAAATTCAAACTGCAGCAGGCTCCTAGTCAGGCCACGCACTCCAGATATGAGCCCCCTTATAAAAAAAAAAATCAAGGGACTATAAAAAGCACCCACAACAACAATCTCAGCCTGCGCCTAAGCCTGGGCCCTCCAAGGGCAAGCAGGCAGGTAAGTGGCAGTTTTGATGGGAGGCCCAGGGACAACTTAACAGTTTGTACCAGGAATCCACCCAACCTTCTCTTCTCCAACCACCTATGTACTTTCCTCCCAGAGTGGTCGCGGCTGACCTCGGACCAATGGGTCCTTAACACCATCTCCCAGGGCTATACCCTCCAATTTCTTGCTACCCCACCTTCTCTCCCCGTCACTCTTCAGGGACCCCTCTCATGAGGGCTTACTCGAGCAAGAGGTGCGGCGGCTCCTTCACTTAGGAGCGTTGAAGGTAGTGCTGGCGGAGTTCAAATACAATCCTGCTATTTCCTTATCCTGAAGGCGAAAGGGGGCCTCAGGCTCATCCTGGACCTGCGAGGCCTGAAGCAGTACATGGTAAAGCTCAAGTTTCACATGGTCTCTCTGGCCTCCATCATTCCCTTCCTGGATCCTGGAGACTGGTACACCACCCTTGATCTACAGGACGCATACCTCCACATTCACATATTCGAGGGCCACAGGCCTTTCCTCCGTTTCACGGTAGGGCAGGAACAGTACCAGTTCACTGTCCTCCCGTTTGGCCTATCAGTGGCTCCCAGGGTCTTCACAAAGTGTATGTCTGTGGTAGCAGCCTACCTCAGGCGTCGGGGGGGTCCAGATTTTTCCCTACCTTGACGACTGGCTGGTCAAAGCCAGCTCCAGATCACAGATACAGGATCACGTAACACTCCTGTCCACGTGCTCCACAAGGGCTGCTGGTAAACAGCACCAAATCCATATTGGTACCAATGCAATGCATAGAGTTCATTGAAGTGATTCTGGACACGACATTGGCCAGAGCCTCCCTCTCTACAGACAGATTCGAAACCATGAGGGAGCTCATCAGGGTGGTCACGAGGTTTCCCGTGACGGGTGCCAGAGTGTGCCTCCAACTCCTGGGTCGTATGTTGGCATGCACGTATGTGGTTCGTCACGCCAGACTCAGGATGTGGCCCCTTCAGCTCTGGTTGGCCTCGGCTTTCTCCCAGTCCAGAGACAGGATGGACAAATTCCTCACTGTGCCGGGATCTGCACTAACTTACCTCTGCTGGTGGTCCACCCCGGTGAACATGCTCCAAGGGGTCCCGTTCAGGGGCCAGTCCCCAACTGTGGAGTTGGTGTCCTATGCGTCAGACTTAGGGTGGGAGGCCCACATGGGAAATCTCCAGACTTAGTCTGTGGTCCGTGTAGGAACTAGCCCTGCACATAAATGTCAAGCACACACTCCTATTGTGGAATGGACATGAGCAACACATCTCAAAGAACACCAGTTATGGAAAAGGTAACTGTCTTTTCCAGTCTGAGCATGCAGCATTTAATTATAGTATTTGCTATCATAAACAGTATAATAAAATAAAATCCATTTCGGAATGTTTGTTCAAATGTTTGAGTCTCTTTGTGCAATCTGGACATGTAAAAATAGGAAAGGAAAACTGACTATTTTCAGGTTATAGATTTGTATGCCTTTGATCTTTAGGGTGTGTGAATTTTGAATCAGATGTTTAGAAATACTTAGTGTGACATGTATTTGTGTTTCTAATTAGTACAGTAATTTGGCATGTTATTTTGTACAGTGTGCTAGCCTGGAAGCCAAACTTTGTCAGATAGAAAGTAAATACTTGATCTTGCTTCAAGAAATGAAGACTCCTGTTTGCTCTGAGGAACAGAGACCTACTCATGATGTCATTACTCGATTGCTCGAAGATGCATTAAAAGTGGACAGTAGTGAGCAACCAGAACAAGCTTTCTTTAAACCTTTCCTTGTCAGGTAAACCTGAGGCTAATTTAATTATTTTGAGGGAATCCAGTCTGTATTTGGAGGGAGGCGTGGGTGGAGAGTGGATTTCAGATATGAAACTTCGTATGTATTGTAAAGTCTTAAGTATCCTAAAAGTACTTCAGGTGAATGAATATACAGTGTTTTCTCATCCTCCATTTCCCCTCTGAACAGTACACTTATACCCTAGGCATCTTGGCTGATGTGTATTGCTGGGCCAAAGGTATTTGCATATGAAAATTGATAGTTTTTTTTTTTTTAATTTCTAGTTTACTTTCCCTCCATGAATAATAGCATAATTATATCTGTGAAATCCCATAACAGGCCTTGTAAGCACAATACTTTGTTTCAATTATATTAAATAATTTGGTATCAAATTAAATATCAGCAAAATTATCCAATACATTTAACTATTCCAGATATTAATGTAACGTGGTTGTCCCATAATTTTGTGTACATAATTCTATGGCTTAAACTCCTTGCAGTGACTTACATAACATTAATTCCAAATGTGGATACAGTCTCTGAATACAGAATTGTTCAAAAAGTAAAATATATTTTGTAATAAACTAAATAGGGAACTTTGACACTTTTATTAAAATAGTATGAAAGCTCTGGCATGGTTTAAGGATATTGCTGTATAAACTATTACCAAAGTAACTTAAGAATGACTACTTGGAATTTCCTTAGAACATACCAGACTGCAAACTTTTTGTAGAAATCATATTCTTTTTTTTCTTACAGTGAACATGATATTTATGGGTTTCAGACAGTCCCAGAAGATGATGAGGAAGAGAAATTAGTAGCAAAGGTGCGAGCCTTAGATCTGAAATCCATTTCTCTCACTGAAAACCAGGAGATTTCTACAGGGGTAAAATGGGAAAACTATTTTGCAAGCACAATGAACAGGGAGATGATATGCTGTCCAGAATTGAAGAATCTTATCCGCTCTGGAATCCCGCATGAACATCGTTCCAAGATGTGGAGGTGGTGCATCAACCTCCACATTAAAAAGTGCAAGGACAGTACTGATCCTGGATATTTCCAATCCCTGCTTCAGAATGCCCTTGAAAAACAGAATCCTGCATCCAAACAAATAGAGCTGGATCTCTTGCGAACTTTGCCAAACAACAAGCATTACTCTTCCCCCACTTCTGAAGGGATCCAGAAGCTAAGAAATGTCCTTCTGGCATTTTCGTGGAGAAATCCTGATATAGGATATTGCCAAGGTCTCAACAGGTATTATATTTCAAATCTGATTAATAAGAGTGAAACACTTGGTAGATGTGTACAGTAAGGATAGCACTGTGCCTTGGGAAGATGATTTTTTTTTTTATTGTTGCCTTCATTAGAGATATTCCTCATCTTGCTGATTTGATAATTTGGAAGCTGTTTCAAACCTTGGTAACAGTTTTTGGGAATAAATGTATCAAATAGTTGAATTATTGAACAGGAAGAATTTGCAAGAAAAAAAGTCATTCAAAATAATGTTTAAAAGTGTCGTTTTAAGACAGTGATCATAAAATTGATAAATAATTTCCTGAAAAATAAGGGGCTTAATTCTCCCTCCTATAATATGAAGAACAAGTTAATCTAAGGGCCACATTTTGGAGTACTAGTTCATTTTTCAAAGACATGCACTAGATGATCACAGTTTTTTCTGTTCAGAAGAGTTGACGACTTGATCAAGTGCTTTGATTTGTTGGCTATTTTAATGAGGAGAGAAATTCATGCTTGGGCCATAAACATAGACTGACAGAAACCTGTAAAAATAGATTTTTGCAGAGGAAGTAGGATTGTAGGGAACTGATACAATTAATGTGGTGTTTAACTGAGCTGAAGTTTTGTGTTGCTTTAATGTCTGTCTTTAGTTTAAAACATAAAAAAATGAAAGTTCTGGCTGATTGGTTAAAAACGTTTGGCACTAGAAGGGCTGCTCCTGGGTGAATTTTGCATCACTGCGTGTGCGCAGAATTCATTGCTCCCATAGATTTATTTGTTTACCCGCAGAAAAATGACTTCTGAGAGAGAAGCAAAGGGAAGCCGCAAGAGTGGTATTGCACCCACTCTCTGGCAATGCAGACAGGTAGGTTTGGACACCCAAAGCAGCCAGTAGAGATGTAAATCACTACCTGGCAGGGGCTGGGTAGTTGTGTGTGAGACAGAGACATTCTGTCCCTCTCGCACACTATTGCCGCACGCTCAGTGTGGAGGGGCAGGGCTTTGGGGTATTTCTGAAGAGGTAGGTGTAGGGCAGGCTCTGTTCCCTCTGGCAGAGGAGAATGTAGCAGCCTGTCTGCTTAGTTAATTGTTCTTAGTGAATTCCCCCAGGAGTATAAAACAGGTGTGTAAATTTTAAGGCTCTATTACATTGCCAGAGTGGTGTAAAGGAGCCTTATTGTAAAGGACAGTATAGTCTTATAAATGCTTATGGTCTTTCAGTGATTAGAATTGGTATACATTTTTGGACTGAAAAAATTTCCTATCAAAATGTGCTCCATGAACTGTTTGCTACTGACCTTTTTCGAGATGGTCCATAGTCAGTATAGACTGTGAGTTTGAGTCCCTGGCCCTTACTTGCTCTTCAGTTGCCCATGATGTAACACTGAGCATGTGGCTGCATATATTTGTTGACTAATAATTAGAAGTAAAGGGTCAATGCTAGCTACATTACTGTTAGACAGAGGGGGTCTGATGATTTCCTCCAATGCTCCACACTCCCATTCTCCATCCATTGTATTGTAGTTTAAATAAATGACCAAAATAATTGAAACTATCTGGATTATATTGCATTATTTTGACCAAAAATATGCAGAATTTTAAAATATTGGTCGCAGAATTTTTAATTTTTTGGCACAGAATTCTCCCAGGAGTCAAGGGCCACAGATCCTATCATTTGCCCATGTGCATCTTACGCTAATAAATCTGGTCAGGAAATCCTGACTCTGGTGTTTCTATTCTAAAAAACATTTCAAGAGTTTGTAGCATTTCTAACTTAAGTACAGAAAAGTATTCAGGATCCATAAAAGGCCTCTATAAAAGAGGGGATTGTCTGAACTTTTTTTCCCCGATTGATACAGTTTTTCACTGATGTAATTACACTGGTGAACAACTGTGGAGTTTAGTAGGTTTACTGCATTGGTGTAAAGTGACTTGCACTGGTGCAGCTTTATCCTGATTTGAAATCTATGCCAAATGAATCTGGTGAGGCCATATGTGTGCATAAAAGAAAAACAACAAAAATAGTGTAGACAAGCCCAAAAGGATTCTTCTCTGAGAGGAATTTGTGGTAAATTAATCTTGTCTCTTAATGTGTGCAAAATATTTCCAAAATTTCCCCAGTTATTTTCACATAAGCCTCAGCTAGAGCAAGAACATTCTGTTTAGTATTCACTATGCAATTGGTACTTCTACTTTTTTTACGAAGAGAATATGACCCAAAAATAAAATAAAATAAAGGATTGCAGGAACCTGGTGGTAAGGGAGATTGGCTCGGGCTGCGTGGGGGGGAGGCGGGAAGTAATATTCTCTTCTGTAACTTCCTTCCTGGTTTTCTTTTGTCTCCACCACCACCATTTTTAAAGTTGTCACTTCTCCTTGATGATTGTTTTGAGACACTTGATTGGAATATTGCTGTACTGGCAGTTGGTAAAGAGAAGAAAGAGAGAGGGCAAAAGAAGAGAGTGCGGAAATGCAATCCAATCTGATTCACATGTAGGTGAATCTAATAACTCTGTGTGACACAGAAATTTTCAAGATATTTTGTAATGAAATGAAATCCTCATACATTAGAGAGAATTATGTATAGTTTGCTTTTTTTGGATTTAAAAAACAAAGTGCCCAAATCAAGGCAGACGGGTTGCTATCTGGAGACCCCAGGAATCCCTTGGTTTGAAATGCTTAAATTGTACAGAGAGAGCTGCTGACATAAGAAGCTAGCAAAAAGTGAAGTTGCGGAATGAAGTGTGTTAATCAGTTTTGCTTACTGTGGTAGATAGATGAAAGAAATAACTAGTTGAACAACTTTGCCACTGGACTTGTACAAGAATTGGGAGCCTAAACAAGGTCTATAGGATTACACACAGGGGTAGAGGGTACAAGAAACAGAAGTGTTCCCTTTTGATTGCTTATCAGTCACCTATGCTTAGAAAAACTTGGGTCCTGAAGGTAACTATGCCAAAAAATGAACTACCCTTGGAGATCACAAAAGGAATGGCCATTCTGGATCAGAGCCATCATGCTCTTGGCCAACACAGGGTGATTAAGGAGACAATGCAAGAAACCTCACAGCTGAATAAGCATTTCAGACTGAGTGTGACCTAACTTATTAAAATAATTATAAAATGTTTTTGCTGTTTTTGAACATTAATTGTCAGACTTCAGCAGATTCACGAAACTTAAGGAAAAGTTAGTATCTATGCCCTTACTGTAGTTTCCTTTCCCTTGCAAAATCTGAGAAGTTGTCAAAGTTCTGTGATGTCCTAAGTAGTTACTGTTTCCACATTCAGAAGTTTCAGCAAGCAAGTGATGTTAGGTTAAGGCAATGTGACTTGAAAAAGAAAAGTCAAGTCTGATATTATATGCACTTAATGTAACTTTGGTTTTCATCGCTCCCCTTGACTGTGCAAACAGGAAGACCAGAAATGCAGCTAAATGTCCTTTGATCATGTTATGGTTTTCATGAAATGGAAAAGTGAGACTGACACATTAGTATTTTTATTTTATTTTTCAAACTACACAGCCCAACCAGTTACTTTTTCGGAAGCCCTGAATATGCCTCACTTGCCGTTACATTCTTGAAAGCTCCTTCACTACGAATGCTTTATAGTAGAGCCTTAGGGGAATTTTTCCTCAAACAGTTCACTCTTTAATTTGGGGTTTTTTCTGATTCAGTGGCCATCCCAGCTTCTTCACAAAAAGCAAAAATGAAATTCAGTTCTCTCTGTTACCAGAAAAGAGAGACGATTATTACTTTATACAACAAAATATAATCAATGTATTTTTTTTCCCCAATAGCTTTTGGCAAATAAACTTCTAAGGCACCAAACCCACAAGATGCTTTATGTGGGCTGATCCCTGCAAGCGCATGGTGCTCCATTGACTTCAGTGGGGCTCACTGCAGGTGCAAAGGTTCTCCTGTGCCAAAGCAGCCTTAGTATATCACAAAATACCTTGAAAAGCTGCACAGTAATTTCACTTTAGAGGCTAGATACTTTTGGAAAGCTCACTAAATAACTTGGAAATTAAAGGAACATATCAACTTAAAATCATGCTTCAGTTTGAAATTTTTTAGCCTAATATCTCAACTAAGACCTAAAATGACTATAACTTGGAAGAGATTGGTGAGAAATATTGATTTACCTTTTTTCTGTTAGTTTGGCAGCAAACTCACAAAATAAATTGTGTAATCATTGTCACTGTTTCCCGTATGTAGTCCGTTAGTTTTTAATGATTATGTGAAACACAGCAAAAGGGGGGAGAATTTTTTTAAGTAAAGTAAGATCATAAATATTTTTTAAGTAAAGTAAGTAAGTAAAGTAAGATCATAAATATTAAGTAAGTAAAGTAAGATCATAAATATCGGTATGGGGTCTCAGGCATGCATAGTCCTTAGAATTACTTTTTGCTCATTTTTAAAATTATGATAAATTTCAAGTTGGTAGTGTTGTTATACATAAAACAGTAGCTTTAAGAACTTGTAACTCCTTTAATTCTGTCACAGAAGGCTATTTAAATAATGCACAGGACTTCCTTTGTGTATAAAGTATAGGAGGATCTTTATTTTCAACTCTGCCATTAAAGGAGGCGGTGAGGATTAGGAACCACAGCAATGGCCTTGGAACCAACAGGTTCCCATTACTTTAATTTGGCCAAGCCACTGACTGAATGGCTTCCAGCAAATTAGCTGGCTTCCTTTTGCCTTAATTGGTCCACTTATTTAGCTGAATAGAAGTACTGACACCCAAGACATGCCTCCTGTTTGAGCTAGCCTAATAATTTTAAATGTATTTAGTAAATTGGTTAGTATAGCCCATTATCAGTCCATTATTCCTTGCTGAACAAAAAGTAAGGTTGTTTTATTTTAAAACTTTGTTTTAATAGATTTGATTGGTGTTTTAGTCGGCTTCTTTTCAAAACTCTCTTTTTATTTTTAGATTGGTAGCAATTGCACTTCTCTACTTGGAACAGGAAGATGCTTTTTGGTGTCTGGTTACAATAGTGGAAGTTTTCATGCCTCGTGATTATTATACTAAAACTCTGCTAGGCTCTCAGGTATGCATTATGCCAAAATAAAACAGTCTTGAAAACTGCCGCTGAAATATGGTTTCAATCTAATCCTGATTTTGAAAGCTACTTCTTAGAAATTGGGTAATAATACTTGCCTCCAACAATGGGGCTATTGTGAGATTAGATTGGTTAGTATATGTAAGTGCCTTGTACAATGGGGGCCCACATCTGACTGAGACTTCTAAGTACTACTACAGTATAAATGTCTAATAAAAAGTGGTGTGCTTTGAAACACGTATGGAGCTGTGTAAGTGCTTAGCAGCAGTAATAACATGTCTGTCCTCTTTAGGTTGACCAGCGAGTGTTCAAGGATCTGATGAGTGAGAAACTGCCACGGTTGCATGCTCACTTTGAACAATACAAAGTTGACTACACACTCATAACTTTCAACTGGTTTCTGGTAGTATTTGTGGACAGCGTGGTCAGTGACATCCTCTTTAAAATATGGGACTCTTTCCTATATGAGGGATCAAAGGTAAGTTGTATGAGCTAGATGTTCTTCAGTTCATATCAGACGTTGTAACAAGACACTGTGGTGTTGAGAAATCCAAGATGGGGGATAGTTGTATTTCGCAAGAGTATGTTAGTTTTAAGAGCTGGTCAAAAAATGGAGTGAGGAGGAAATTTACAGAACAGCTTTTCCAGCCAACAAATTCTTCCATTTTAAGTCTAAATTTTGGGACTTGGATGCATCAAAGTCCTTTTTGAGAAATAAGCAGATATCTAACCAGTATTTCCTGGGTTACAAATATTCTAAAATAGAGGTGTAGGAAAGTGCAAGATTCGGCTGAGAGTATGGAGGTGGCGGTTGTTTTCCTGTCACCCTACAGCAAAATTTTTTTTTTTTATTTTCTGTAGACACCCATCTAGTGCTCGGGGCACCTAACCCATTAATTAAGAATTTTAGCATTAAAAAGAGACAACAAACAGTTGCCTATAAATGTACCCACCTCAGCAGAAACCCACATATGAAATGGTAGCTGAATAAGACGGACAGTTTTGTTTAAAAGGTTTTTTTTTCTCAGACACTTAGATACAACAGGAACACGGCACTTAAGCAAATAGGGGAAGGGGGAAGAGAAAGAGATGGGGGAAAATAGGCAAGAGTAGTAAGTTCACTGCCATAGCTTTCTCGTAAATGAACATTCCAGTTTACAGTGTGGCTTTTTTTTTTTTTTTTTGTAGTGTGTTTATTTAAAATAACTTTTAAAAGACCACAATACTGTGATAAGATATACCTGTACAGAGTTGCAAAGTGCTAGGCCTGCTGAACCCATTCTATCATGGAGAGAGTGTCAAGACTGTTGTAACTCTACCAGTGACTGACTGAGCAGCTGTTGGCAAAAGTTGAATTGGCTTTGAAAAGCCAATTACTTTTTTTTAATGTAATGCAAAATATTTTTTTTTTAATTTCAACTCTGAAACAGCTTTGGTGGTTTATTAGGCCATATTGTCTTTGCTTTACAGATTAGTTTTTGTAAGGAGCTCAGAAGCCTTTGGACATTAGTTTAGATGGTGCCCAAATTATTATTGTACCTGGGGAAAAAAATGTTTGAGCATCACAAACAGAGCTGTTTCCTCTACAGAAGGCTGCCATTAGGCTAAAGAGCACACACTAATGCAGAAAGATCACAACATTTCTAAAAATCAGTTTTATAATAAAAGTGAAGGTGTGAATCATTGGATTCAGAATGTAATGTGTATATATAAACCTTTTTTGAATATCCAGGTCATTTTCCGTTTTGCCCTGGCTCTTTTTAAATACAAAGAAGAGGAGATCTTAAAACTGCAAGATTCAATGTCCATATTCAAGTATCTCCGATACTTCACTCGCACCATTCTTGATGCTAGGTAAGTACTTTAAAAACATATTCAATATCTACAATATTTTATATTGAGGCACAAATGAGACACTTCACCTAGATGGGTGGCATCTGTTCAGAAGAATACCTATTTAGATTTCTAGTCACTGGTTTAATCTTTGTCTATTCTCTTCCTTAAAATGTGTATATGAAAGACTCCCCCCATTCAGAATTCAAAAGCAAAAAAGTAGCTGCTGATAAAATGATAAAAAGCATCATCTTCTAAGCAATTTGGCAGTTTAACCCCATATTACTATAGTTACTTTGTAGTGTTGCCATTTACTCTTATTCATCTTTGTATTGCAGTAGCACCTAGAGCCCCATTGTGCTAGGTGCAGTAGAACCACACAAAGTGATAGTCCCTGCCCTTAACAATTTATAATGTAAGCATAAAGTAAGAGATGTGGATATGTCCTATTGAATCAAGGATACCTTGTGTACTACTAATACATGTACATAGGCAAGCATTGGGTTGTCAGAATATTTTATATTCTGGTATGCCTGTGTTTGAGATGACAGGAACTAGACAGTGCTATAAGTGCTATTCTGTCCTTCCTTCTTCTTTGCATAGGGAGTGCAGTTTATGTGCACTGTGTTCAGCATAAATTAGCACCTAATGTTCTTAAATATTTGATACAGGGAGGGAGGTAAGTTAAATAATAGCAAAAAAATTATTTTTCATAAAATAGCAGTTTGTTTGGATTAGAATTCGGCACAACACTAGATACACTTGAAACTTTTTTAACATTCTTGGCTGTTCTCTGATAACCGCTAAACTCAGGGTGCAAGTTGGGTGGTATTTACTATACTAAATTGCATGCGAATTAGGCTTTAAAATCTGATTCCTGTTCAGAGCTCCCTGTATGGTTTGGGAGTTCTGAATGGAAGAAAAGACTAACTTGTCTGTATAGTTTCACCCAGTGCTTAAAGATGAATGTGAAGGGCTGACCCAGTGAAAATCTTCTGCACTTCCACATAGGAGAGGGAAGTTTGCCTTTGGCTCCCCAGAGTAAAGTGGCTCTGAGGGGATGGAACCCAGACTGTTCTGTGTACCTGAGCATTGACTCCCTCCCCCCACCCCTTTGATAATGATGATTTAAGAAATGATTGCGGAGAGCTGTGTTTAGTTCTTCTTGGCCAAAGGAAAATGATGCTCATGACTCCCAACCTACGAGTGGGGAAAAGTGTGTTTTTGTGGGTGGAAATGTTTTTAAACATACAAAGCAACAGAAAGATAAATGGAACTAGTGCTTACTAAACCTGAGCCTTTTGAGTATTCCAGGAATTTTTAACCTATAATCTCCTTTGAATTAAAATGACTTTCCGCAACAACACTGCCAGAAACTGATGTTTGCAGACTGAATTGTTGTCCCTCCCTAATTTAAACAGTGGTGCTCTTTTGTTTGAGATAATGTCAATCTTGAGGCTTACAAGACTTGTCAAGCTGGACCTTCTTTTTTTTACAAATGTGTATAACACCTAGTGATGGAATTCAATTTTGATTTTTAAAATCGGATTACTGCAGCTCCCACAGAAACCTTTTTGTATTACCAAGGCATGTTTACTAAACCAGATTGGCTTAAGTCTGGAAAACTTGGGGCCCCAACTATTTACTTTTTTTAAATTATATTCCTTTTATTTTAGGGATGGCAGACTGACATTCTCTGATGGTTTAAGTTAAGGCACATATTGGTGTACAAAAGCTTTGTAATACATGCGCACTGTGTTCTATTTTTTAAATCCCATTCTGTATTTGACTTTAAAATGGACACTCTATGAAAATATTTTATAGTAGTACAGTGCCACCTTGTGGATTTAAGCTGAATTGATTAATTTAAAAATCAATCTTTGTAAAATAAGATACATGATTCATGCCCTTCTAGCCTCTCAAGTTCACCATTTTACAATTTACTTTTAAAAAATATTTTTGAACTTGTAAAGCTAAGTGATTTAAAAATGTAGAAAAATGATTATTCTAGATGTGAGTCCAGTCTTGTGAAAAAACACACATCCTATTCATAATACAGAAAAGATAGACATTCAGTTATGTGATTCCTGGACGTTTTCAAGAGGCTGGAATAATTAATGGGCACTAACACATTTCTGAAGTTTAAGCTGCCTAATTGGAAAAGTCCCGACTAATGTGTGCATTGGTGCAGCTTCAGAATAATGTACAGGGAAATAAGAGTTGTATACCTAATTGTCTCACTATGATAAAATTGTACCTTAGATAACCTGTTTTAGAGTATATATTTAGTGAGAGGTTATTGATGTTTGTGTGCATAGAAGCAAGGAAATTACTGTTTCAACCTATAAGACCTCTGAGTCTTCTACAATATGAATGTAGGAAAATCCCAGCCTTTCAATCTGTAAACTGCAGACCATCTTAAGAGAAGCTAACTAATTTCAGTAACAGTTGGGATCAATTTCTCAGGTGCTCAAATGAGCTATTATGGGGAAAATGAGAACTTCAGATATAATCATTAAAGATGTTTTATCACAGTTGCAGATCAGCAATATTGCTTATTCTCCTACAAGAATAGGCTAAATAGAATTATAGTACTTTTTTTAATACAGAAACTGGTGCAGTACTTTCTGGAGCTATGAAATGCAGAATGCAACTGTTGTTGTAGCCCATTTATTTTGAAAGTGCAGTGCATTTAGACTCATACAGTAACCTAATGTCAGATTTCTCAAGGCAATAGTATTGAATTAATTTCAGCAGAACTAAAGCAGAAGATCTGAAATAAGGAATATTTAGGAAATAAATATTCAGTAACCACCCTGGTTGACGAAACTCTTGTTAATCAAAGCTTGGTTACACCTCCTGCCACGATGTTTCAATGTCCTTAAAACCATAGCATAGTGTAGACTTGGCAGCTGCTTCTGCAGTCTGGCCAGCATTTAAGGGGAGATTCTGTAACTAAAGTTGTCATTTTAAAACTGCTTCTTTTCCAAAGCTACCTTGAAATTTCAGCATTTCACCCAAGACACACCAGGTACATGGGGAGAGCTATGCCAGAGATTCATTTTGCACCTTTTATAAAGCACTAAAGTGAATGAAGCTTAAAACTGCCATTAAAAGCCATAGATCCTGTTGTGATCGTCTAATGCTAGGTAATCTTTCAGGAAACTGATCAGCATTGCTTTTGGGGATCTGAATCCTTTCCCGCTGCGTCAGATCAGGAACCGGAGGACCTACCATTTGGAGAAAGTGCGCTTGGAGCTAACTGAACTTGAAGCCATTCGTGAGGACTTCCTGCGTGAACGGGAGACCAGCCTAGACAAAAGGGACCTTATTAGTGATGACGAAGAAGATAGTTGAGAGAATTCTTTGACTTGAGCTCTCTTTTTGGAATCGTGACCAAAGCTTATTGAATGGGGTAACTTCAAATACACTTCTATTTTATTAATCCTTTAAAACTGAATGTTAAATAGTAGCATTTGGAAATATGCAGGACAGATTTCCAAACCTCAGCACTTTCTTTCAAAAATATTGTTTTGTATCGGAGGCCAAACAGTTCTGTTTACACCTGTGTTCATGCCACTGTATAGAGCACTTAAAAATTAGTCTTTCAATCAGTTAAACAGATGAGTTGCCAGTTGTTCTTCTGAAGTGCCTCGTCACAGTGCCTGAATGTGAAGAAGTAGCATAGAAAAGTCCTTGCTCTTTTAATCTACCATTTTGTCTCATTTCTGAACTTGTATATTATACTGAACATAGTTATAAATTTGCATAGCACAGCCCCACAACATAAAAAGACATCATTTTTCAATTTCAGGCAGATGCACAAAACTGTCTTTCATAGTATTGTCATGAATAAATCAACCATTATTTCTGTTACAGCTGAGAGGGTATGGAATGGAACACAGCAAGAGCTTTCACGTTGCTCTGTTTCTCTAAAGGCAGCATGAAAAAGGGATAGCTAAAAAGAAAGTGTGTGTGTGTGCATATATATATACTTTAAATGAGTATTTGTTTTTTATTTTATCTTTCAGACTACTTTAATTACAGTGCAAAACATAATGGTTGTATTTATTTTGAACAGCTGTTTTATATTATCAGATTCCCCTTAATGCAGAGGGAAATGTCCATCATGTTCTGCCATTTAATCTTTTTGTTTTTCTTCTGGCCACAACTTCTCAAAAAAATGACAAGCAGCTGTTAAGGAGATGGAGTTCACCACAGGAGTCCCACAAACATGTAGCAGATTTTCTGTTGCTTATGTTGTAACGTTTGTTTTTTAATAAGTCCTATTCTTCTCTCTGTTTGGGGTCTATACTAGGATGATGTTTGGATTTTAGAAAAGCACCCAAGGGAACAACTTTTTTCATGAATAAAAACTATACATTGCAATGTTTACATTACAGTATTCTTAGAAAGGAAAACAAATTTAGAAGTGCATCAGAGCAATCTAAAGGCCACAGAGCCTGTGAAGAAGTTGGTTAACATTCTTTTTTTGTGGAAATAAACCCTATACACACTTCCAGAAACATGCTGCTGTGAATGCTGTATGCATATGTATCCACAAGAGAGCTCAGGAAACAGACAGTGTTATTCCCCTAGCATTGTCTCTGGCATTGTGACTATGAATAGCTTGTTGGGTACCACTGTTTCACTTTGTGATGTATGCTGTTAGAAGGTTAGCTAGAGAACCTGATGGATTTTTCTTGCTTTGTTCTTATTCTGTTTAGGTTTGTTTGATAGTCTTCTTTCCCAAGCTTTTCCCAGCTTTTCAATCATCAGAATGTCTGTTTGATCTAAACATTACCTTTGTGAGGGCAACATAAAATAAGAAGTCAAACAAAAGTCATTAAATATCTCTCTCTCTCTCTCTCAAAGGTGTTTTCCTTTCCTTGGCAATAAAGCAGTGAGAATTGCAGTAGCAGTTTAAAGTATCAGATTTCAATAACCTTCCATTCAGCTGTTAGATGGTATATTTATTTACTCTTCTATTTCAGTCCTATTCGTGTAAAAAAGGTTAGAATATTGTGGGAGGAGTGGGGTGGTATTTCACAACACTTTTTTTTTTCTTTTTTTTTTTTTTTAATTTCTGTTGGCTTGGCTGAAACTTGGTTAAAGATATTTTGCTTTTCAACAAATATTTCCTTTATACAGAAATTGTCCGGTGTTAAGCCTGAACAGAATAAGATCAACGCATATCATGTAACTTGAAAATCTTGGTTAGATATATATTGAAAGACTTTGTTTGTTTGTTTGTTTAACTAGCAAAACATATAAGTTCAAATACGCAACAAGCCCTTATGCTTATTAGAGAAAACTGGAATGATCTTCAGAATTATTTCAGTTGTGTTTTAAAACATTTCTAGCATGAATAGTACAAGCAGTAAATTTCTTACTTGCACCTTTTGCCTTATACTTGAATTTACTAGGCAAGTTTTTCATATTATTGCATGTTCTGTATTTCTGTTATACTTACTACTACAATGAGTATTTGAATATACAAATCAGACCAACTTTTTAAATGTTCTGATTGTTTGTTGTCAGTGTCTTGGAGGAGCTGGTCTCTAACCAGATCTGTGTCTCTACTTCTTTTAAAAAAATTTTCAAGCGTTAAATGAAATCCGTCCATTTTTGTAAACTTGTTTAAGTTCTTCCTTAGCATAGCAACGTTGAAAATACTAGGTTGGAACATTTTGCTAGCCTACCATTTGTTGAGATCTTGCTATTTTGAGCCTTAATTACAGACCAGTTAAGTGATGTTACAAACGTTTTCAAACTGAATGCACAAAAGCCCTCAGGTGATGAAGAGAAAACTGTTAACTTCTGAACCGCTGTTCAGGATGTTCCCCATAGCTGACAAGTTTATGGAGGAGTAGAGATGACTTGCAATGTTGCAGGCCCCTTCCTTGTAAGAAATGATGTTGCTGATGGTTAAATTTAATTTCTTGTGTTCCTGCAGTTTGTATTAAATGTTATTGCTGGGGTATAAAAGTTGTACAGTAACATTGAATGACTGTTTACTGTTTTGAACCGCAAGTATGTAAAATCTGATACACAGATACCATTTGTTCAAATTGTTTTGTTGGGTACCAGATGTGAAATGAGTTGGTGGCTTCAGTCAGGTTCTCTGTAGCCTGGTGCTTACATCTCAATTTTTGGGCAGAAGGGCCAAAAATTTAAATGGGCAATAAAGACTGAACTGTACTCTCATTCCTAGAAATCCCTGCAGAACAGGAGTGAGGTGCATATAGTAGGAGGCAGTGGCAGGGGAAGGTTGCTTTGCTATTGTCCATCCTGCTCTGTGGCCAAATAAAGGGTTTTGAGTGTTGCTTAATCTGGTGGCTTTCAAGAGCACTAATGTTCACCTTTTTAAATGAACACGCAAGGTTACATACATTCAGTATCTTCATCAGGTGACATCAGACACATATGGAGTGACCTTCAAAAGCTGGAATTTGTCAACAAATAATATTAACATTATAGGACCAACTTTCAAAACAGTGCATGAGGATTTAAGTGTGCATCCCTGCCATTGTTTTGGAAATAAACCCCTTAATGAAAATAATAAAGATCAACTTAAAAATTGATGACCAAATATCTTTTTGTATGTTTAACATCTTGTTTAATGCTTTCATGTCTCTTCACTACAACACTTTTACAGACTTTAAAAAATAATTTCAAGGTTATGTACATATGTGCAAAATATTTGTTATGCATGGCTCACATTGTGTGTTTATGTAAACCAAGCCACTAAATTAAAATCCTGCAGACTATTCTTCCCTCACCCATTATGCATGATTCAAAACACAAAGTAACTTGTAAAAAATGTTGTCTTCTGTTACATTATACAGAGAAATATGGTGCATTATAAATCTTAGCTATTATTAGGACTGCACAGTATTCCCTTTCCACCTATGCGTACAGTATTATAATCCAGTATTATTGGATAGGTTCTTTTACCAATTAAAATTATATATGTAGTTAAGGAGAAAGAATTTGCTTTGTCATTGTTCTTCTGTAGGTGTACAGGTATGTACACATAGTAGGGTGTCTGAGCAATAAGAATAGGATTTTGTGGTTTGAAACAGCTAGAGTAAGAGCATTCTTGAATTTGACAAATAAGTCATGTTCACAATCCATGCCAGTTTGTTCTGTTAAACTGTTGAGAAATGAAACTAGTCACTTTTTCTACTCTGGAGCTATATACAGATGTTTAAATAAAACTTAGTACCCATATTTCATAAACAATCAATGGTACATGGTATAATAAATCACTTTCAATCACAAAACTTAACTGATCTTATTTTGCTAAAGATTATTGTAAGATTGAAAGAAAAATAAACCATTTATTACTTTGCATTATAATTTGGCTTGAGTTTATTTTTAATAAACGTATGTGCTGGAGCCATTAAAACTTCTAGAAGAGGAATACATTTTGACACTCTAAGTCCTTTAAAAGTCAGATCATCAATTCTGAGTTTTAGTGGAACACTCTCGTCTAGGGCTGGAGCAAGTATTGTCTGACTGTAATTGTTCTGGAATGAAGGAAAAGAAAGCAAACAGAACAAGGGAATGAGAGTGTGAGAATCATATTACAGGAATTCTCTTTAATGAAATTTCTCTTGTCTGAATTAATCAAAACAACTGGCATTTCATGCAATTTTGAAGACTGTTCACCTATGCCAGAAGTACTGGAGGCACTGGATGTGGCTTAATTAGGCCGCAACTTTATTCTTAACTGTGTGGGAATACCCAGCAGATGAAAGTGTACAGTGAAAGTAATTCCATTATTGTCCCTGGGGGGAGGGATTCCATCAGCTCTCTCCTTAACCCATCCTGGACCCCAGCCAGCCTGTCGCTGGGACCTCACCATCCCCTCCCTTGAATGAGAATTGGGGGAAGTTATAAAGGAGGAGGGGTTGGCTCTCTGCCGTGCCAGTCATAGGAGTCCCGAACCCCCCGTTTCTGTTCCTTTATCAATCCATTTTATCTGAGTGCTGTATCCCTTCCCTATGCAGTACCTTCACTGGATGTCTGCCCGACCTTTACATAATGAGTTTTGACATCATAGCCTAACTCCCATTTAATGTTCACCCCAACTAAGCTCCCCTGAATACTTTCTAGGGAAGGTGAAATAACCCCCACTTTGCCTTGGCCAATCTGGCGGTGAGGGAAAAATTCCTTCCCAGCCTGCTTGAGAAAGGAGCAACTAGTGTAATGCCCACAGCACATCCTGACAACCTGGTATTTGACCACTTCCATGGGTGGGGCGGTGGGTGCTGCTCTGCCTAGCCCAGATAAAAGAGAGCTTTTCCTACCCAGCATGGACCTATATAGTACCTCCTCTCTTCCAGTCACCTCGGGGGGAGGGATGCTGACCTGCTCTGTGGCTGCTGTAAAAATCACTCCATGCCTCTCTAACCCTTTAAAGAGGTACATACCTTCTCTGATAAGCCCAACAACGACCTCTCCTGCTTAATGTGCAGTACGGTTATATATCTAGACTAGTATACGCTAGCATTACACTTCTAGCACATAACGATTTGGTTTTGTATTTGCTGATTCAGCAAAGTACTTAAGCATGTGCTATGCTTTAAACACCTGTTTAAAATACCTTGCTGAATCAGGGCCTTAGCCAGTGGCCTGCAGGTTCCAGGGGTAAATACATGCACACTTTCCAAAAAAAAAATAATAATAATAAAGTCTTGTAATAGGTGAGATTCTTAACATGAAACTTTTTATTTAAGGTAGGTACCTTATTTAAGCTGGTACCATCTTGTTAATTTTTCCCAGTCATGCAAGGTCACTATCTGATTTTTCTCGGTCTCTTCTGATTATGGTTGGAATACAAATGACATATAACACTAGATGTCTCCATCAAGTTGTGAGTTTAGTTCATAATAAATAAGCCACTCTTGAGCTCTTCTTTTTTCAGTGAAAGAACAGAGGGGACAGAAGGACTTTTGTGGCATGCAGTCAAATTATTGTTTTTCTCAACTTGTTAATCATACACAATCAACATTCAACTCCAATTTTGGCTTTAGATGGCATTTTATAAATTGTGCAGTGTCTGACCATCCATTCCTGATCATAGGAACATGAGCTTTTCTAACAGTAGTGCCTCTGCACCCTTTTAAAAATAACACACATACATAACATGATAATTGACCTTCCTAAATCAGTATTGGCTAATTAAAAAACTCCCACTTCTTTAGTTTTGCTGTGAAAACTTCTTGCCTTAAGAACTGAGGGCGGGGGGGGGGGGAGGGTTCTGTCAGCCAAGAAGGTGACAAACCTCAATGCAACGTTAAAGTCTGAAGCCTAGATAGACTTCAAACATTCAATGTGAGCTGATTATCACTCACGTGCACCTGTAGACATAATCGGTACTACTCATTCAAAGGCATGTTTGTATTGTAGATTGAATATGTATTTTCATGCCTGAGCGTGCATGTACTGGTACAATACATTCAATGTTTAAGACAGAATGAGTATCTTCTGTCCTTGACCAACTTTCAAGGCTGTAGCTTCCTCCCCAGATTACGTTTTGGAGCCAGTTTACAGTGACACTGATGGAAGGCTTTAAAGCTGCATAAGCATCTTAAACCAATCTACAGCCTTAAATTAGTTTTATAAACTTAAATATATAAGACCTACAAAGTGTATGTGTGAGGAGGGTGTGGAATTCGGTTTGTGTCCTTTTTTTCCCGGTTTGCTTCTTTAAAACATTTTGAACAGCTGTTTTTTCGGTTGACCTGTCTGCAATAAGCATGGTTAGACTCTTTTCACTTTCCCTTAAGTTTAAAATGGCTACAGGGCTTTTGCTCAAGCTTCCCAGAAAAATTCATCTTCAGGCAGAGTCTGATCTTGAAAAACATCTACCTGAAGTTGGAACTGTTTCGCAACCAACAGCTATAGTGGCTGTGAATGATCCAAGGGGGCAGAAGGGAAAGAAGAGAACTTTATTCTACAGTAATCTAATTTTCCTTGAATAATGCAGTTTATTCTGTGTTTCTTACATTGATTGTAAGGTAAGCTATTTTGGAACTGAAAAGTTCAGTATTTAAAGGCTGTTTTTTGTGCATGATGCAGTGGAGTATGGAAAGGTTTCTGTAGAAGAGCAAACATGAAATTTTGGATTTGAACTTGGAAGATCCAAACTGCAAACGTGTATGTTACACCAGAATTTTCAAAGATATTTAGGAGTCCATGGGATTTTCAACACCCCTAAGCAGGTCAGGCACCTAACTAATACCATAATCTCAATGGGAGTTAAGAACCTACCTTGTGTAGGGGGCTTTGAAAATTCCATAGACCCCTAAATACCTTTTGAAAGTCTGACCCGAACTCTCATTTAAATTTAAAAAAAAAAAAAAAAGAGGAGTACTTGTGGCACCTTAGAGACTAACAAATTTATTTGAGCATAAGCTTTCGTGAGCTACAGAAGTGAGCTGTAGCTCATGAAAGCTTATGCTCAAATAAATTTGTTAGTCTCTAAGGTGCCACAAGTACTCCTTTTCTTTTTGTGAATACAGACTAACACGGCTGCTACTCTGAAACCTCTCATTTAAGTGTGTGCTAGTTAGGTGCGTAATCTGCTTAAGTGCTTTTGAAAATACTACTAGTTGCCTAAATAAGTTTGGAAAATCTGTCCCAAAGCCCCTTTTTCAAAAAATAATTAGTAGTCTAAGTCTCATTGACTTTTAATGAGATTTAAATTCTGAAACATCTATGCCACTTTGAAAATTGGACTTAGGAGCCTAAAGTCACTCAGGCAGTTTTGAAAATGTTACCTGTTGCTAGGGCTGTCCCCTTCAACAGTGTTATGCAACCAGTTACGGTTGTATGGCTAGCATGATCACTTTATTTCAGTTGATAGGATGTTAGCTTTGTCAGAGCACAGTAGGCTCTTAAAGTGTGGGAGCTCATTCAACTGGGAAATCTCTGCTAATCACAAGACACGGTAAAGGATAAAGAAGAGCATCTGAGACAGAACGTGGCTGTAGGTGGCCTAAGGACCTTCTGTGCTGAAGATGGTAATCTGAAGGGATAAGGCGTAACCAGCGCTGGCATTCAGATGCTTCAGTAAATTGCACAGAGGTGATGTCCTGACTCAGGATAAACATTTTCTGAAATTTCTTTTTCTTTAGTTGAAAAGCCATTTTTAAAAATAAAAAAAATATTAATATTTGTATTGCAGCAGCACCTATGAGCCCCTGTGTTGGGGTAGGATTGCATTGTGCTAGGCATTGTACAGACAAAATTTTTATATGAAAATTTTTTTTGACTAGCTTTACAGCTTGGTTTAAAAGACTTGGAAAGAAGAGGAAGTAAAACAGCTGGGAAAAACCTTCAGCCAAAAGAACTTACAAGAAGAGTGGACACAGATGAGCATTAGTATCATGAGAGCTAATGAATGCAATGTCAGAATTTTGGGGATGCTCTGTATTAGGAAAGTCTGGCAGATACAACCTGTATTCTGAAAACATCCTGGTTTAGTGTGACACCGAATTTTCATGTTGAAAAGTTGAGTCTTTTCAACATGTCAGTCTCTAAACCATTTGGGCTAAAATTTTCCATGCTGGGTGTCTGCTTCAGGCTGATGTTTTTTAATCATTTCAGCCAAAAGTGTTCAGATTCAACCATTTCTGAGAACAAACTAGGGGAAAATGCATTGTTTTACCCATATTAAAAATTTCTGGTGACCTATTTTTAAAAAAACTCTAGCACACCCCACCCCACCCCACCCCACCCCTGCTTCGGTGCAGTAGGGACTTGAAATTTGGCTGTGGAGAAAGAGGGCCTCTGTGTCCAAGATGTGCCTTTTGTTGTTTTAGTGAAAATCTGCCAAAATTTGGCCTAGTTCTAAGGCTCAATAGAGATTTGCTAGAACTTTGCATCTTAATTCCCTAAGATTCTAGCCACATTGAGTATGCTCCAGACGAAGATGGGCTGAACAGGACTTTCACTGCAGGGACCTGTGGAAAAGCTAGAATGTGGTTGTTTAAAGGCTGTATCGTCATGCATATGTACAAGGTGACGAAAATAAGATTGCAAAGCCAACCTTTGTTCTGGCATTTCGTAACTGTTGAGTCCTTGACTTTGCAACCTTAATAATGTTTTAACACGGCTTTTGTGCATATGTGTGTGTGTGTAACTTGTAACATCTCCAACATAATATTTTATAACCCTTTCAAACACGAGAGGGAAATTACACTTGAAGCAATAGTTAAAGGCACTGTCAATATTCTGTAAGTGACACACAGATGGTGCTTTCTTGGTCGGTCCATATCAAGTTTGAACTCTCCTTTAGGAATGTAGGATATGTGCTTCCTTTTCTGTCACTTCCTAAATGAGATGAGATAAGGGATGTGTGTGACGGAGCATGGCCCATAAAGAGAGAGCAAATGCTGACCTCCAAAGCTCAGTGCTTTATGGGGCTGCTCAGTACCAGAAATGTGCTGCCTCTTTTGAGATCCATTCAAATTGCAGAGTTCTCTTTCCTGTCTTACTGTCTTGCATGCACATGACATCTCTCAGCAATTGGAACACTATCTCTGCAATTGGAGCATGATCTCTACAATTAAGTCTTTTTCACAGGATCCATAACGGCCATGAAACATTAGAGTAGAATAATGTGTCATACAGAGAGGCATCTCTGGACCTTAAAGCAGTTTGCTAATGTCTATCTAAGGCAGTGGTCCCCAAACATTTTACCTCATGCCTCCTTTTACCCCTGTTGGTGCTCCCCCAGCCAGGAGTGAGGCCATGGCTCTGGGAGAGGGGATGCAGACAGTGGTAAGGAGTCTGAGGCTGGGGCCACAATTGGGGGTGGGAGTGGACCCTCAGCCTGCAACTGTGGCTGGACAGCCACGACCCCAGGCTGAGCTCCCTGGGCAGCCCAGGTGCAGGGCTGGCAGCTGGGACCAGGAGCACAGCTGCATGGTGGTCCCTTCCTGCCCCATGTGGGGACTGGTCTGGGCCCCAGATGGGCTCCCCTGAACATTACTCCATGCCCCCCTGGGGGGGGGTGCCCCACAGATTGAAGATCTCTGATCTAAGGGCTTTGAGAGCCTTTGATGGGTTTATATAAATGATAGAAGGGCAAGTTTTTCTATTGAGGTAAGATCTAGATTGTTTTTTACAAACCCACTGGACCATACTTTGCATAGGATCTATTTCCAGCAGGCTGTCAAAGATAAATTTAATTGAGATCTAAGGTTATGGTTGCACAGTGTTCTTTTAAATTAAGATTAATACTATGTGCTGCACAGAAATGTACCTTTTGCAGAGGTCAGAATTGACTGAAATAGGAACAGAAGCTCTTACTGCAGCAGCCAAGGAAGGGGGGTGTATACAAGCCCCAGAGAAGAGGGGAGCTCCTTCTTATTCTAACCCTTAATCTTTTATATTAGATTATATATATATATATATTAGATTATTGCTTTGGATTAAAGTGTAGAGGTTAGAGGTGGAAAAGATCTGTTTAGAGCCAGTCCACCCCTGCTTGCAATGTAGGCTATAGGTGCCAACTTGATCAGGCCTCAGAGTTACACTCCTCAATGTAATAGAGTGGGTAGGGAAAGCTCACCCAGGTTTGAAAAGCCATTGCAATTTTAAGTGTCAGTACAATGCATGTTATTTTGTCACCTTCCCTTCCAGCCATGTCCAAACAAAAGGCAAAAGATTTCCATGAGCGTCTTTATTCCTCTGATAACTAACATGGCTTTTGTCATAAGGGTGTTTCAAGCTATCAGATGACAACCTCAGCACTGAGGCTGGAGAATCTGGATTCCTCCAGAGGCCTGTTAGAGCCTTTAGAATCCCTCCCCATTTCCTCCTCCTCCATCTTTCCCCATTCCAACCTCATTTGATGCAGCTACTTTCGTTTTGGATTTGGGGAACTGGGTGGAACTTCCTCAAAGGCCATGAACACCACTCCTTAATCAGCTAGAAGGGGTCGCAGTTGAATTCTACTGCCTTGGAGGAAGGAGATAGGCTGGGACCAGGAATGAAGCCAAGTCTTCCAAACTGCAATGCAGAGCACTGCCTCGAGGCTGGCTCCAGTTCAATAATGTGACAGAGTGAAATGATTTTGAAATTCATTATATCTGATCCTAGGAATTCTTGAAGGGGAATAAGCCCAATGCTTGGAGAGACAGAAGCCAGCATGCCCCATGCAAGTTTCTCTCTAAAACTGGTATGTACCCAACTGGAAATGAAGGCAAACTGGCATTGATGTTCAGTTCCAGCTTGTTCATTACAAATGATGCATATGTATTATTAATGTTTTCTGGGATTAGATGTTAACCTACAATGCTTCTGGCTCTCATGGTTGCAGAGAAAAGCTTGAAAACATTAACCCTAAATGCTCAACAACCAAAAGGCAAATAAAAAGAACCTAAAATGTATTATTTTTCAAATCTTGTGATTTTTAAACCAATCTCGTGATTTTGTGGAGCTTCCTGGCTAATGATTTTTGAACACATGGAATCAGCAATATTGGGACACTTGTAAAATAGTCACACAAAAGGACTCTTTTTAGAAAGGGTGTATGATGTCACTACTGCAGCTTCAGATTCACAAGTGATTGGGCATATTCCTCAAGGGAGACTATATGAGTGTTCTGAGTGAGTTTATCACAAAACACTGCATTTTGAGCAAAAGTACTGTTCTGATGGGGTCAATGGTCATTTGTCTCTGTTCTTCCCTACAAGCATGGTTCCCACACTGAGCACTCCTTCCAGTGGGTTGTTTGTTCCTAGCAAACAGGGAAAATGCTACTCTCTATACCAATATATCCTGAACAAACATTTTGTAGTTCTAAAGCAACCCATATGTTTTGATGGGTGAAATGACACATTGCAGATATGCTGAAAGATGTTCCAGGGACAGCAGATAATAATCTGAGAGGGCCTGGGCACGTTTGTCTGGATTGATGAATTTTCATAGCAATTCTACACATGCCTACTTACAACATTAAGCACAAGTTGTATTAGCCTTATTCTCATTTGGTATTTGTTGAGCACCAACAAAGTGCTCTGTGCTGTACAAGGCACAAATCCAGAGAAAATCCTTGCCTGGGAGAGTGAGCTCTGTGTGGCTCCTCCAAAGCTTGTCTCTCTCACCAACAGAAGTTGGTTCAATAAAAGATATTACCTTGTCTCTCTAATCTACAACACAGACATTCACCAACCTGGCTAATGGGGGTAGATGGGGAATAGTTTAATTTCTTCCTCTAATTGTCAGGAACTCACTCACAAAATAGGTTCTTTCAAAACTAATCATCTAGATGTTTAAAAACCCCATAAATGACCAGAGCCTGGTGCCACCCTTTAACACCCCCTCTACCCCAGGCATGGATGGATCAGTGTGCATTTGGGTCACTTGCACAGGGCCCCCAGCTCAGGTGAGTCCTGACCACCAGAAAAGCCTCCAAGACAAAGCCCGGAGTGGCGCTGACCCCGTGTGCCACGTTCCAACACCACTGCCATGGACCTGGCCTGGCCGCCCCCAGCGGACGGAGGGTGGCCTCGGGCCTGGCACTTGGCCCCACCACCGCTACTGCAACCAGGCCCCAAAGAGAGCTCCCAGGCCCCGGCAGAAAGGTGGGGTGCGGGCCTCATTTCCATAGTGCACAGGGCTCCAAACCTCTTGGCACTGCCCGTCCCCCAGCCGCCCAAAGGCGCTTTCTGGGGCATCTCAGCTCAGTGAGGGAGCGCGGGGCCTGAGCGCTCCCAGGAGGGGGCTGGTGGGACGCGGCTGCTGCAGTCCGGCAGGGGGCGCCCTCAGCTCACCATCCCGCAGGGCTCGCCCGCAGCCGCGACCTGACACTGGTGGAGCGGCTCCTCCCCGCTGCCGGCAGCGGGAGTCGGCTGGAGCGGCGCGCAGGGGGAGTAGCCGGCAGCATCAGCGCCTGGACACTGCGGCTCCCCAGGGTGAGTAGCGCCCGCCCCGGACCCCGCCGCGAGCCGACTCCGCTCCCTGCCCCGCGCCCTCCGGCCGGTGCCTAGTGCAGGCGGCTGGGCTGCCTGGCCCCCGCCGAAGCAGCGAGGGTTCGTCCCTGCGTCTCCTTGGCACAGCTCCCCGGGCGGGGGCTGTCCAGCCTGCGTCCCCAGTGCGCCCTGCTCCCCGGGCTGAGAGCGGCGTGGCGGGCTGCCCCTCCGGCCTGGGTCGGCACCTGCTGCTGGGCTTTCTCGGTGGGGGGCTCTGGAGGTGCAGCAGGGCTCAGCCCGCCAGTGCCCCCGCGAGCTCACTGGCAGCGCAGCGCCGGGCTCGGCTCCTGAGCGTCTGCCCTGCCCTGGTCGCGGTGCCTTCCCAGGTACGGGGGTGAGGCTGGACCCAGGGCAGGGGAGGGGGTGGTTTATCCATCTGGTGCCTTCTCCTGCTTGTGGCCTTTAGGGAGGAAAGGAAATAGGTGACCGGTGGGTTCTGCAGAGGTGCCAGGGGGCACTGCGTTGCTGTGCACGCGGTGCTCCCAGGAATGGGCAATAGCTGACAAAGCCGAGAAAGGAAAAGCATGGGAGCGTAACAGGCTGGACTTTATCAAGCCCTTCCTAGAAGGTGGAAGATCATCATAACACCTGTCTCCGATCATCCTGTTAGCTTCCCAAATTAAGAGGTTTCAGCTATACAGGATTGGGCTAAAGCATCAGCCTAATAATCTCTGCACAGGTGTCACACTTAGAATGCACCTACTATGCCAATATGCTGTAACTCCGGGATATGGCAATGGGTGAAAAATGGATCTGCAGCATGGTAATCCAAAGGGCGGGCCAAAAAAAAATTTTTTTTTGGTAGTCCATGCATTCTCAGAATGAGCATTATGCAGCTAGGTCCTACTAAAATCCTTCTTGTTCTGGCTTTTGCCCCACTTCACTTATGCCCCTTATAGTTTTCCTCTGTCTTCTTTAGCTTTTTCTCAAATTAGAGGTTTTTTGCTACTTAATTTTCCTTTAAGCAGCCATTGTGGAAAAGCACTTCTGTACAGGTTCATGACATTCTTGCTACTAGATCCCATCTACACTGGACTTCAAACAGAGTTAAGGACCCAAACATAAACATTGTTCCACCTAGATTTGTTTTTAGCATAGGCTGATGGGCCAGTGGGGGGTGGGATTAGAACTGTGTTTAAAAAGTGTGTTGTAGACTAGGCTGGTTTAATACACTGACTTTGTTTCTAACCCATTGGGTGGTGGTGACCTCATGCACACATCCACTCTTTGAGACCTCTTCATAAATTCTACTTGTGTCCTCAGCCTTGTTTGTTTATGACTTGCAGGAATGTGGGGTGGATCCCTTCATTTTTTATTTCCATACAAACAGGGGTAGTAACTATTGGATTGTTGGTATCTGGGACAGTGAGTCAGAAACAGAATATCAGGATGCAGCACAGTGCACACTTGACTGAACACCCTAGGCTGTCTCGCTTTAGGGGAAGATCAAGATCAAAGGAATGAGATTTCCCCATCTAGGGTTGTGATGGCTGCCATCCTGGTTTATACATCAGGGATTGAACTGGGGACGTTCACAGATGACGAGCTAAAGCACGCTAGCTTGGGGTTATAACAGGTTCCTATCATCCACAGACTGGGCACAGAGGGAGACTTGTAACATACTCAGCAGCGGGTTCATGGGCACACGGGTAAAGAGCTTGTCTGAGATGCCCTGACAGTCCTCCAGAGGTGGGCCCAGGCTTCATTTGGCCTTCACTGGTCCATGTGGCCAAAGTTCATAGAGCGTGCAAGCCAAATCTTGTTTGACTTCAGGGTAGAAAAATTTAATAGTCAAAATCCCGTTATGTTTATCACTTGTGATAACAAAAGGCTTGAAGGCAGCCTACTCAGGAATAGAGAGGTGGGTTGCAATTCCATGCTTGTCCATTCCAAGACCCATTATGTATCAAGTCTAGAGCTTTCCCCTGCTGTCTGTCTAGGCATTTATATTCATTGCTATGGCATCATCCAAACACCTTAGGATCAGTTACAATGGCAATCCAGGCAATCCTTGTCTCTGTTGACCCATAATTAGCTGCAGAGAGGACAAGATAGCCACTCATTGCGGAAGTGGAAGGGGTTTGAACTGCAGTGTGTGATCAGCCACCACAAAGCTAAATATCCCAGAGTAACTTGGGAGAATGGAAAGGGGGGGTCTCTTGAGAACTAGTGGCAACAATAAGGGTGATTCTAAAACAAGACTTGGTTACATTGAGTTACTGGCACGTCTGGAATGTACCATTCAGAGATGTCTGGATAATAAGTAGTAGAAGTGGCTGAAAATTTCCTGACAAAGGTTTTTTTTTTAATAGAAAAATAGGGGTTTGGTGAAAACTAGATTATTCATGGGAAAACATCTTTTGACTTGCAAAAGTTAGAAATCTGGCAAAGTGGAGAAAAACTACTTTTTCACACCTTTTTACTCTTGTATTTAAATAGGTTTTCCCCATTTTCTCTCAGTTTGTTACAGTCTTCCAACCTTTTCCAGTGGAAAAAAGGAGGAAAAATAAATGGAGGTGGAGGAAGCACATAAACACCAAAAACTCAAATGTTACAATCCTATTTTTGGAGTTTAAAAACCAGAAGTAGATGACATTTGAAATCTAAATGAAATTTTATGTTTATTTCAGTATATCCGTTTGAAACAATATGCGTTCAGCCCCAAAATTTTGATGAAGATATTTTTCCTGTGAAACATTCCATGCAGGAAAAATCTAGTTCTAATTGTTGTGGTTGTTTACCATATGTAATGTAAAATGAGGCCACAGAAGTAGCTTCTCTGATTTCAGCACTAGGTCCAGAGAGAGACTTCATGTCATGTGTATTTGGGAAAGTGAAATTGTTTGGCAAATAAATGGAGAACATATCCAAGGGAAGAATCCTGCACCCTCTGGGGTCAGGCCAAATGATCTAATAGAGTTTAGACATTTTCCAGATCTAATTTCTATCATCCCACTAGGATTGAATGGTTGGCATTTATTATGGATTTATCATGTGCAGGCCAGTCATTACTTGTCACCTCCCTAGAATAATTAAGTGACTACAGAAAGAAGCCTTGTCTACATGGGAAAGTTTCCCCAGTTACACAGGATAGTCCTGTGATATAACCCCCTCGTGTCACTTGTTCTGGTGCATTGTTCAGTTTAGTTTAAACCCCTTTCCAAGCAACATTAGATAAACTGGAAAATGAGTTGCATACTGGAGTATTAGTGTCTACCCACTGGGATAATACTCATATAACAATATCTGTTCAAATTCACACCTTATGTTATACAGAAAAAGCTATCCTGTGTGGACAAGGCCTGTTTTATGATATAATAGAACTCATGAATGTAAAATAAAAAAGGAAAGGGATACCTTTTAATGGTTAGAGCCACTGACTTGCTGGCCATAGGCCAATCACTTAAATTCTCTCCCTGGGTTTTCTCATCTGTAAAATGAGAATAACACCATTCTGACTCACTGAGGTATGGAGGCTTATTTGTTTGTAAAGTGTTTTGAATTCCTGAGTTAAAAAGTACTATAATACTCTGAACTAGTATTAAAGCTCCATTACCACTACTGATGCTGCTGAATAGAGATTATTCTGCAGATTAAAATCTATTTTTAAAAAGTGTTCCTGGTATTTACTGTAGTTAACGCCTTTTACCTAAATATCAGGACACACGGTGCTACTTGTTGCACAGAAAAGAAAATCTGAAAGAGAATGCATTTCTGCACATACAGTGTCCAACCAAACCAGAGGAGAAAATGAAGAAGGCTATATCCTCTGCTGAGGTCACTGCTGCACATTAGATGCAGCAGAGGTATCTGGATAACCTTTTTCGCACAATAAAATCCTTTCAAACATCAGTAATTGAATCTTAGTTTAAAATTAGCCCTGATCCAAAGCCCACTGGGAGTCAATAGACTCCCATCAACTTTTAAATGTGCTTTGGATTAGAGCCAAAATGAATAAAATGATCATAGCCCAATGCATCACGAATGGTTTTTGTGTAGAACTGCCTGAGAAATATTGGAATAAAAATAGATTGGCAGAAAATACAATAGATTATTTCTGCTTTTCCAGGATATTGTGTATGCCTTGGTGTTTAAATCAACCAAATCTGAGTGCCCAACCCTGATTCAGCTGACTTGGTTTCACTAGTTGACCTAAGGAAAAATTGACCACCTGATTAAAAAAGTATTAAGGTTCTCATCCCTTCTTTGGTTTGATTGTGCTCCAAACCTCTGAATGCATCATAACAAAAATGGCATAATCTAGTTCTTTGAGTATGGGAGAAATCTTCATAATTTTCTAGAATTACCACAGAATATCTGGAAATAGTTCTGTTTATGAACAGTAAATGCCACTTGAGAATGGAATATTTCATTCCAAAGGCATTTTAACACCATGAAGGTCATTTTATGCTAGCTCCCCCCCCCCCCCCCCCGCCCCATGCCTCCATATTTGCTAATGACAGGCAATTTGGTTCCTCAAGTGTGTGATTTATTTTGGGCTTTTACTACAGTTACTGCTGGGTGAGAGCCAGTGAGGCCTATCTGCAGAAGTAATGTGGAGTGGAGGGTTTTACAGAATAGGCTGTAGTGATAGAATGGGAAACGCCAACATACCAAAGATTGTAAGGTTTGTAGGTTGGAGGTTGTAAACTCTTTGGGGCAGTTTATAAAATGGAGTTCCGGTCCTGACTGAGACATTTGGATGCTACTACAGTATATAATACCTGTGGGAAGGCTTGCTGGTTTGACCTTCTGGAAGAAAGATGTGCTTCAAAGATCAAGAGAGAAGCTGGTTTCTTTAGTCACTTCAGAAATAGATGAGCAAATTATAAAGCTATAGAAACAAGGAAGCTCTAACCAGCAAGTCTGGGTTTTCTTTTTGTATGTGGCTACCACTGTGATGTGTTCAAATCAGGCAAAACTTCCACTTGATAACCTCAGGGGAGATGAGTAAATGGTCAGTTGACAGGACCTAGCTGTTTCCCCAGAGGTGTCTTGGGCAAGTTCTTCATTTTTAGAGCAGTATTTTCAACTTGTCCCTCCATGTCACAGTCCAGTGTCTCTTTCAGGGCAATGGTATTTTTTTTTTAGCTTTGTTTGCAGTAATGTTGTTGTTAGGCTTACATCTTGGATTGTGATAAAGGGAGCAATCAACCTAAGGGAATTACATTCTTTTGACAAGTCTCAGCAGAGTTTAGTACTGTAATAGATAAGTCTCTTCCCAGAAATGCCTTGCCATTAGTTGCGAACTGCTGCACACGCTTAGAACTTTCTCCTGAAAAGTGATATGAACTCGGTATAAGGGTTGGGTTTTCAAAAGTCGTCAAGTTGCCTTTATTCTGCTCCTATTATAGTCAGGAGGGGCTGAGTTAGGTAAGCACTGAGCACTTCTGAAAATCCCATCTTAACACCTATGAATAAAATATTTTCTCGGAATGGAAATATGTACTGTTGTACACTGCACGCCTTACAAGCTTTTTTTTAAGACACCCAACACAAGGTAGTAAACTTGTTTCTTTAAGCCCTAAGCAGAGCTGATCTTAGAACTTTTTTGAGGAGACGAACGAATTGCCTGAGGGATACACTAGTTTGGGTGAAGCTGCTAGTGAGCTGTTTATTTTCAGCTGGAGGAGAGAGGTTTTTATGCCAGTAGTGGGATTAGATTTGGGGAGAAGAAAACAAAATAGTAAACAATGAACAAAATAACAGATTACTGAACCTTTCAGAATGCTCAACATGTAGTAACGGTAATCAACAAGGGAGATTAAGATCTCTGAAGGTGAATGGAGATGGAAAGGGAGAATAAGAGATAGAAGCCCTTTTTGCTCATCTAGTCCACCCTTGTCAGCAGCACAGAATTGTTCCCAACTGTATATTTTTCTAGTGCTTTATCCATTCTAGTTTTAAATGTCTTCAGTGTTGGGATTTCCATTGTTTCCCTTAGGTTCTACTACACTGTAAAATAGTGACCCATCATTATTTGGGAAAGGGTCAAAAGAGGATTTAGGGAACAAATGAGCTACATTTCAGCATCTCAAACTTGGGAATTGCAGAAAGGCAATTCTGTAGAGCATTTACTAAAATATGAATGGATAATGGACATTAGGCATGGGCATATAACAGGGCAATCCTGATCAGTTAGACAGCTGGAGTGCTTATCGTATATTATTGAAACGGTAAGGAAAGGAAAATGAATGATCTCAAAATTCATCTGGATCTCAAAATACTAAGAAAATAGTATTGTACAAAAGCATGCACAACAAAGATGTTAAATGTAGCATCTAGTAAGAGCTATTGGAATGTATTAAATAGTTATGGAAAAGGCTGGAATAGCAGAGGAGGATACCAGATACTGGTTCTCTTCCTCCCTTTGCAAGGATCAGTTGAGTTGGACTTTTTAAAAAAGGGATCTGTAATCTTATTTGCATCCCTTCATTTACTGATAAGGTTTTATGAGTGTAAATGTTAGTCATAGTTCACTATTCAGGTTAAGGGTTGATGTGACATTCAGACAGGAATCTTTCCTCTTGAGACTAGGGGTCACTGAGAGTAATTGTAGGCCCAACATATAAGCTTTGTTAAAACAGGCTTTCAAAAAGCAGTACGTGGCAGTGGGGGGAATGTTTCCTTGATTTTCTTTCTTAGTTTAAATGGGAACACTATCCTTGGAAAGGAATCCCAGTAACCTGTAGTGTTTGTTTCCTAATTGTAAAAACCTGACAATTCCCTTCTTCTCCCTCCCTCCCCGCAAAAAAAGAGTGAGAATAAATTGGCTAGTCTATGCAGTGGAAAAAGCAAACTAATAGCATGAATTGTGATAAGGAAGTTCGATTTGTACAACTCTTTCAGTGTTATGATTTAAGATAGTGTTGGGAACACAGGGAAATCTTTTAAAGGAACATGAGTTTCAATTTGGCAGAATCCCTTTCAATGGTTTTTCAGTATTTCAAAGCTATTAACACAGTGTCTAAAGACATTACAAATCTACTAATTTATCTAAATAGCCATGTCTTGTTGCAGCATTTAGATCAAACATAATTTTAAAGGATCAAAATAGGTTTTGATGTGCTTATGCTCCTAGTTCTCCAGTGTGCAAAAGTATTATAGAGTGAAAGACATTCTTTAAAAAGGTCATAAGAGTTGTACAGAAATACAGAAACTGGGAGTTCCTAATGTATTGCTTGCAAGCATTGGGGCTAATCCACATGGGCAAATGAGAATTGAATTGAGAGGTGTGGTAATCACAGCTGGGCCTGAAATACACCTGAGGGGTATTTCTCAGGTGTGCACTAGAATTTCTGTTAGATAAGTTTGGGGTAGTTACATTTTTACTGTAACATTATAAATATTTGTAAGGGATGTACAAACATACTTAAAAATATTGAACTGCATAGTAGCTGTAGCATGGGTCCATGACATGAGTATAACCGTGGGGTCCTGTTTACACAGGAAAGACCAAACCATATTGTAAGCTGCTCAGCATGCTCCCATTTTAAAACTTATCAGTCTTTACTGTGGGGATGTGCACTGAGGCAGTGATTCTCAACCCTTCCAGACTACTGTAACCCTTTCAGGAGACTGATTTGTCTTGCATACCCCAAGTTTCCCCTCACTTAAAAACTACTTGCTTCCAAAATCAGACATAAAAATACAAAAGTGTCACAGCACACTAGTACTGAAAAATTGCTTCCTTTCTCTTTTACTGTACAATTATAAAATAAATTGCGACACCCCCCCCCCGTTGACAAACATTAATATAGTATATAGAGCAGTATAAACAAGTCATTGTATGAAATTTTAGTTTGTACTGACTTCTAGTACTTTTCGTGTAGCCTGTTTTAAAACTAGGCAAATATCTAGATGAGTTGGTGTATCCCTTGGAAGGCCTCTGCTTGCCCCCTGGGGTAAGTGAACCCTTGGTTGAGAATCAGTGCCCTAAGGAACAGGGTCCATGATCTTGTACTTAGGTAGCAGTCTCTGAACTAAGTGGACAGGAATGAAAAGCAACATTGTTCATAAAAGAGATCTAGTCGAGGGGTCAGCTTTTGGGGGGGTATTTTTTAAAAATGGAATCCATAGGGCATTCTGACCAGTTTCTAACAACTCCAATGTCACACTTTGGATCTTGGACCAGATAGCAAGTGTGAAAAATTGGGACAGGATGTGTGTGAGAGGGGGGTAATAGGTGCCTATATAAGACAAAGCCCCGAATATCGGGACTGTTTCTATAAAATCAGGATATCTGATCCGCCTGTTTGGACCTAAATTTTTTCCCCTGCTGAGAGTCACTCACATTAGCATTATCCTTTTAATTTTATTATGAAAACTCCTTGGGATAAAACACCTGCTACACAGGAATTTGAATGAATATGAACACTTAAAAAAAAAAGGTTTTCAGATAGGCTTTTTAGTTCCTTCTCACACAGCAGCTGCCTCAAAAATGTTGTAATGTAAAATTAAAGCCTAGGAGCTCTGCATTGGAGAATGCTGTTCTGTATAGGTTCTTACACTGTCCTCATGCCTGTAGCGTCTGATCTCCTTCCAATAGTGTCTTAAATTATGTGAATAAAATCTGTCACTTGTGGTTTGTTCTTTGTGTCATCCTCTGCCCCAAAAATTTGGGAGCCTAAAATGTAGTTCCTGTCCACCAGAGCATCCCCCGAATTTGAACCCAATACCTCTAGCACAGAAAGTAAGGACTATTACTCCTAGGCCACCCAGCCACTTACTTCTCTTGCTTACCACCCTGTCAAGGCCCTGTGATTTATATTGCCATAACTTTCCTTTGTGCAAGACACCCTTCAAAATCCATCACTGCTCCTAAAATAGTCAGAGGCAGTCACTACATAGAAATGTGATACGCTCCTGATCCTGAAACCCCCACTGTTGGGCCCTGCTTCTGCAGCTCTCTCAGACACTGTTACCCAGGAAGGGAGCAAGCCTGGGAAATGAACCTGATTGTATCTCATGGCTGTGCAGTGCAATAGGTACACAAGTGCTGAGCTGCCCCTTGCTGCTTTTTCCCCTTGTTTGAAATGACTCATGTTTGAGAGGTGCCTGGAGACCAAATCCCTCGGTTGATCTGCACAGCAGTAGTGCAAGCTTGCCCATGCTGCCCCACCAATGTGCTTCAACACTGACCAACTCAATCAGGAAGAAGGAATTTCAGTTTCCTCGCCCATTCTATCCTGAGCCTCTCTGCTGAGACTGCCCATGTGGAGGCCAATTGTGCTGATTCTGATGGTGGTTTTTTTCCATGAGATGGTCACTTAGGGTCCCTGATCTAGCAAAGCAGTTAAGCGTGTGCTTAACTTTATGCATGTGACTTGTCCCATTTAAGTCAATAGGTCTATATCTATGCTTTAAGTTAAGCATGTGCTTAAGCACTTTGTTGGGTGAGGACCCAGGAGCTTGATTCTGCATGGTGCTGTACACTACTGGAAGCCAATAGGAGTGGAGGGTACTCAGCACCACCCAGGATCAGGTCCTGGCAGCTGGGCTCACACCACCACATTTATTTCACACAGTCCACAGAACAGCCATCAGCTGATGGTAACTTTGAACGTAATGAGCTGGAATAGAGTCACAGTGAAGTGTGTTTTTAATGATTCTTTGTTTATTGTGGTTGAGCTTGTGCTACTCTTGAACTGCACAATTAATTTACCATCTTTGTATTTTATATTCCAGTCACATTATCTAGGTACATCAATGAGGAGTCCAGGGATGGCTGTGTTCAAACAACAGAAGGTGGAAGACGTTTATGAAATTGGGGAAGAGCTAGGAAGGTAAGTGCATATAGATGGCACCAACACACTTCAGAGGGTGACAGATGCCGTGATATTTGTAATATCTTGTAAGAATGAATGAACTATTGAATTGGTATTCTTCTTGATAACATAAGAACCACCATACTGGATCAGATCAATTGGCCATCTAGCCCAGTATCCTGTCTCTGACAGTGGCCAGTGTCAGAAGCGTCAGAGGGAATGAACAGAACTGGGAATTTGAGTGATCCATCCCTTGTTTTCTAGTCCCTGTCTCTGGCAGTTAGAGGTTTAGGGACACTCAGAGAATGGGGTTGCATCCCTTATTCCTGCTTTTTCAGATCCCAAATGATTTCTCAGTTTGGAATGACTTAGTCCAAAGGAAGAAAATATTCTTTCTACACCGGCAGAAGAAGCTACTGATGTTAAAAGTGAAATTATCACTTCAAGGGTCTCTGAATCCAAGTGCTTAAATGACTTCCACCAATTTACTGGTGTGACTTTCTTTAAAACATCATCAGCAAACATATTTATTGAATGGTTCTTATTCCCAAACTGGGTCTCTTTTACAGCCCGCTGCCATTATAGATTTTCCCTTCTAGTGAGAGAATGGTACGGTAGATCTCAAATCAATGAAGGCTACACTCAGAAAGACCTCAAGACTTCTGGAATATGCTGCTCAAACAGGTTTCAAAGTAGCAGCCGTGTTAGTCTGTATTTGCAAAAAGAAAAGGAGTACTAGTGGCACCTTAGAGACTAACCAATTTATTTGAGCATAAGCTTCCGTGAGCTACAGCTCATCTCCTCACTGTATTTTCCACTGAATGCATCTGATGAAGTGAGCTGTAGCTCATGGAAGCTTATGCTCAAATAAATTGGTTAGTCTCTAAGGTGCCACTAGTACTCCTTTTCTTCTTGCTGCTCAAACAATTTCACTTTTGTTTCTACTCCCTGTGGCTCCCTTCTCACATTATCTTCAGACTACTTCTTTGTCCAGATCTATTCCGACCCCAACAATCTTCTATTCATTGAACTTTTTGAAACTTTTAGAGAGAGGTAAGGAATTGACTCTGTGTACATAAATTTGCAAAGGGACAATAGGGTTGAGGTCTGTTATTTCTCACCTCTCTATATATTATTTATTTATTTTAAAACATTTTTGCTGTTAACAGGCATGTTCTCTCTGGAGACACAAATCCATAGTCTGAGAACTGCAAAACTAAGCATCTCTGTACAGAAGCCCCTGGAACCCCATGAGATTGGGTCCCTAATCCATGAACTATTGGAACTCATTTACAAAACCTTTCTTAAACATTACATGAATATATTGTCTCATACTGTAGAATTAGAATTTATAATGCCTATTATATGATGAGATATCTTTGAGCTATAATGTATCTCAATTAAAGCTATCTTTAGATAGGTTTCTTCCTCAAAAAGCATTTTATAAAAAAAAAATCAGATTTTTTTTTTAAATCATTGATTTTTGTCCATTCTGAGTTGAACAGCACAGGTCCCAGATAACTGGTGTTATTCCCAATATATTACAACAGAAACCTATTCTTTAGCATAAAATTTATTTTCAGTCTGTAGAAAATTTCTCTGTTCCAATCCTCCATTTGCTTTCTAACATTTAAAACAATAAAGTGTTGCAAAAATCAAATTTTAAGCTTTAATAGTTAGCACTTTCATATCACTTGCAGTCTTCAGTGGTAGTTAATACCCGTAAAGCCCTTTGAAGTATTACTACCTTCGAAATCAATGGGACTACTCCCATGCTGATAGTTAAGCATATGCTTAAGTGCTCTGCTGGATTTGGGGACTAAATAAGGCAAGTCTCCTCCACTAAATTTGCACTTTACAGTGCACTGAATGCAGAAGGCCCAGACCCATAAAAAGATCACACCTCCAATAATTTTTTAACATGCAGCTAAGTTATCGCCTGCTGGACATCAGGCAGTTGTCTTTGATAAATGGCTGTGTATGTACACACTGTGTTCTTCAAAGGCCCATAAGTTAGTCATATTAAAACTCCTCACTAAGGGCTGTTTCCCTGCTGTCACAGATCCACAGGATCAGTGCTATGGCATCAGCTTTGGAATGGTCTCTAGGAGGAAGCCCTCTGGTGTGCCATGGAACTTACTCTTCCTCCAGGATAAGCCACACGACTTCACCGCCTCCTTAGACTGGACCTCTGGACCTGAAGCACTTCTGCTTCATATTGTGAACTCCAGTCAGTGAATCCAACAGAGACAGACCCCTGATGGAGACTTGTAGAGTTTTTAGGGATCAGTGCACCCCTCCAAGCATTTGCAGTGACATTGACACAGCATTATCAAAAGAGTAGGGTTTATTAGTCATCTGGAACACAGCACAGGAAGTCCTTAGGCTAGCATAGAAGAATGAAGATTAAAGCATAGTCCGTTCTAGTTAACACGGAGCCGAGCCAAGCCAAGCTGAAGTGAACTCCGTTGTTCAAGCTCCATCTCTCTCTGTCTATCTGAGCTTATTTGTCAGACGCCCAGGTGTGCCTGACTGCTTCCCAAGTCCACGTTAACCCCCACTTAACACCTCTCCAGTCCTTTGTTCTCCAGGTGGGGAAATACTGTTCAGTCTCCTTGCTGAGAGGCAGTGAAGTCCATATCCCTTTGGGTCATTGCTTGCTAAGTGTCAGGGCAATTGGATCTGCCATTGTATTCTCAAGAGGTCCACTGATATGGGGATTAAGGGCCAAACAGGTAGGCAACATCCACACCTCTATCTCCTAGCTTGTCCCAAGAGCAACCAGTCCTTTTCTCCCCACTGGGTAACAATGCAGCATATAGGAGAAACTGAGACACACATAAGGTTCATAAAAATATTACAAAAAATCCCACTTAGTCACCCCTGCCAAATCTTTATCTTCACCCTCAGCTATTCCTTTGCTCCCATTCTCCTCTCTCAGAAATGCTCAAACATTCTGAAACAGATTAACTTTGGGCAGAGACTGGGTCTGGGATATTTCAGCTTGGAAGGTGAAAATTGGTGACTGAAATGACATTTGTGTCTGTGTGTTTGTAATGAAAATGCATAGGTAACCTGAATTATAGCCATTAGTATCATCCTTGCTTTAATATCTTCTAGTTCTCTACTCAGTACAGAATTTTTTACTGTACCTTTTATATAGTGTCACTTTATATCCTAGTATTATGTGCTGTAATTGTCAGAACATTGTGGGTAAAAATCGGCATTCCTTTTTGGTGTGTAGCAATCCCTTGACCTTTCACGTAGTGGCACCATGATTATCTGACAACCATATGCAATACTTAGACTTTGGATCCAGAAGCATGGTCGTTTCCTAGTGAGCTACAGGAACTGCTCCATTAGATCAGCCAGAAGAGGGAACTCCTCTATGTGCGCAAGTACTCTCAGCATACCATAAGGAGACTCCATCCTCTGGAGCCAAGAAACGCACACTGCAAAACTATTCTAGCTAACATTTTAGTACATTTTTTACATTTGACGTCCAAGTGTTCCGAATGATCACGATTAGTTACCAGGGGAGGAAATCTTCTCTCTGTACAGATGAGCAATTTGGGTCTACTTATCTAGGATTGCAACAGGGAAAACGTGTTCAATGAAAGACTTTAATGGATAAGCCTAGACTCTGACTCCTTGCTTTTCTGTTACCAATTCAGACTTTGTAAGTAAATAATTTTAACCTGTAAACGCTTATAGCAGGGGAGATCCACAATGGAATTGCTTTTTTATTCTTAACAATTTCAGGATGTATTGTTGGAATTATAATGCATATAATGTCACACTGACTTCCTATGCTGGCTTTATTTTCACTCTTTCGGATCTTGTGAGGGCTTCACAGACTTCTTGTTCCAGCTGTGCATTAAATCTGTAGTTTGAGCTGGTTATCATGCCTTGATCTCTGAGCAGTAATTACAGGGTCTGTGACAAGTGATTACTTGCTTTAGTGTAAGTAAAGTAACATACTAGACATGTTCCAGCAACTTCAAGAGAAGATTTTCTTCCAGTGTTGGCTGATGGAGCTCTTTGCCAATAGCTACTTTTAATTATTTCGTATTTGCAGCAGCTTTCAATGCTGGCAGAAACAGGTGGATAAAAAGATTCATTTACAGGAGCAGTGACCAGGTAAGTAATTGGCAAACAAAGAGGTTTGTATGAAATGTAATCTCCATGCTTTGGCAGTTGTTCAACTTCTAACTGTATCTCCTTGACTCTATTATTTATTACTTCAGAACAAAAATCTTCATTAACCTAGGATTAAGATTGTTCCAGTTCAGATTCAACCAGCACATTCAGTAAAAATCCAGGATGTCGCAAGTAAAGCAAACACATTCATTTATTTATATACACATCCATTTTAAAAAGGGAGCATTTGTCCTTTGCTCTAGGCGCTTCTCGACAAGCCATAAATATGTACTAGTGATATGGACCCCTCCCTACAGTCATCAATCAGCGCATCCACAGCAACTGGCTAAAACCCCGCAGTTGAGGATGTTCACAGCCACAGCAACTTCACCAAGCATAACTTTCTGCCCAAAGACAGGTTTCAGAGTAGCAGCTGTGTTAGTCTGTATTCGCAAAAAGAAAAGGAGTACCAATTTATTTGCGCGTAAGCTTTCGTGAGCTACAGCTCACTTCTTCAGATGCATTCAGATAAAGTGAGCTGTAGCTCACGAAAGCTTATGCTCAAATAAATTGGTTAGTCTCTAAGGTGCCACTAGTACTCCTTTTCTTTCTGCCCAAATACGCTTGCTGATTCCACAGCGAAATCCCTTTCAGCTCTAACGTGGAACCATTCACAACGTACAAATCACAACAGCCTGCAGATGGAACTCTTCATGTGCGGGTGCTGTAGCAGTAAAGGCTCTGAGCTTCCCGCACTCCCAGTTCCATAGTGTGTCCCAGTCTCCCCAGCTCCGGTGCACAGAACCTCTCCTTCCCTTTTCCTTGGCCTCTTGTGCATCCGTGTGAAAGCTGTCACACTCGCTTCACCCGTGCTGCCC